CTCCCATCTCTCCTCCCCAGGCACCTCCACTCCCCTATTTCTCCGGAAGTTCCTCCCCAGGCATCCCCACCCATCCTGCCTCTCCTGAAGATTCCCCCCAGGCACCCCAAAACCCATATCTCCCCCCCAGGCACCCTCACTCCCCCATCTCCTCCCCCCCAGGCACCCCACCCCTCCCATCTCTGCTGAAACAGGCCCTGGAAGCAGTGTCTGGTCCTCGCGCAGACCCGGGGGTGCTATCATCCATCTGTGTCTTGGCAATCCCGGGTCTGGGGGCTTGGCCCTGGGCGTCCCCTCTCTGGTGGCCCTGGAGGAGAGCTGTCCTGTGCCGGGTGGTCCAGTCAGCTGTGTAGGGAGGAGGGAATGGGACAAGGAGGAGGGGAAGGAGGGGGAGACAGATACGTTTGAATTTCAAACAAACAACAGATGCTTTCAAATTTTTGTTTATTTATCTGTTTGAGTCGGGGGTCTCTGTCACCCAGGCTGGAGTGCAGTGGCACGATCACAGCTCACCACAGCCTCGACCTCCTGGACTCAGGTGACACTCCCACATCAGCCTCCTGAGTAGCTGGGACTACAGGCACGCACCACAATGCCCAACTTATTTTGTTATTTATTGTAGAGATGAAGTCTCACTGTGGCCCAGGCTGGTCCCGAACTCCTAGGCTCGTGATCCTCTTATCTCGGCCTCCCAAATTGCTGGGATTACAGGCGTGAGCCACCAGCACAGTCAAATACTTTCTTAGTATAAGTATATCCCATGAAAAATTTGGGCCATGTCTGTAGTAAGAATGTAGTCAATGTTTATCTGAATTCAGTTGAACTTGGCGGTTCTGTATTTCTATTTGCTACATTTGGCAACCTTGGGAGGTGGGTAGCAAAAGGAAGAGGAGGAGAAAGGAGAGGAAGAGGAGCTGGGCTTGGGAGAGAGCGGAGAGGTGGAGAGGGGCATGGGGGGTGGAGGGGGAATGGGAGAGAGGAAGGTGGAGTCGAGGGGGCAGAGGTAGAGGGGAGGGGGAGAGGGGGAAGAGGTGGAGAGAGTATGGAGAGGGTGGGTGGATGTGGGGGAGAGGCAGAGGGGCTTGGGGAGGTGGAGTGGAGGGCACACCTAACCTCCCCCTCCCCAGAGTACAAGGAGTGCTTCTCCCTGTACGACAAGCGGCAGCGGGGGAAGATGGCGGCCGCAGACCTCCTGGTGGCCATGCGGTGCCTGGGCGCCAGCCCGACGCCAGGGGAGGTGCAGCGGCACCTGCAGACCCATGGGATCGGTGAGCTGATGGGTCGTGGGGGTGGGGGGTTATGGGGACGGGAGTGGGCCATGGGCTGTGAGAGGGACGGGCTGGGTGGCACCAGCCAGAAGTGTCTCAGGCGTCCTGGTCCCTGCGAGGACCTGGGGTCGCGGGGAGGAATGCAGGCATGGGTGTGCAGCTAGAGGACGTGGCCCTTGCGAGCAACCACGGGCTCAGCTCATGCCCTGAGGAGGGGTCCCTGCAGGCAGAGGGCAAGGGTCGCTGCTGCCAGTGGCTGCAGTGATGGGGGCAGGGTTGCAACCTAGGCCTCCGATTCCAAAGACTGACCTGAACAGGACACGACTGTGGGAAGGTCGGGAAGAAACCCCAGAATATCCTGAGTGTTCTGGGATAGACTGCGGGCACCTTCCTTGCTTTTACTTTGTTTACTGGATTCCCCTTTCCCTGCTTTCCCCACTCCCTCCCTTTCTCCTCCCCCTGCCTTTTTTTGTGGAGACAAGTTCTCACTATGTTGCCCAGGCTGGTCTCAAGTTCCTGACCTCAAGCAATTCTCCTGCTTTGGCCTCCCAAAGTGCTGAGATTACAGGCGTGAGCCACCACACCGGGCCTGTTGTTTCCTCTATTTTCTTTCTTTTTTCTTTTTTTTTTTTGAGTTGGACTCTCATTCTGTCACCCAGGCTGGAGGGCAGTGGCACGCTCCCAGCCACCGCAGCCTCGACCTGCTGGGTTCAGGCAATCTTTCCACTTCAGCCTTCCAAGTAGCCAGAACTACAGGCGTATGCTACCACGTCTGGCTAATTTTTTGATTTATTGTAGAGATGAGGTCTCGCCAAGTTGCCCAGGCTGGTCTCAAACCCACAGGCTCAGGCAATCCTCTCACCTCAACCTCCTAAACTGCTGGGATTATAGGTGTGAGCCACTGCACCCAGCCTTCCTCTATTTTCAATCGGAGAACATAGAGGACTTTTATGATCAGAAACAAACAAGCTTTGCTTTTTTTTTTAACTCGGGGGTCTCACTCTGTCCCCTGGCTGGACTGCAGTGGCTCCATCATAGCTTGCTGTAACCTTGAATTCCTGGACTCAAGCCATCCTCCCACCTCAGCCTCCTGAGCAGCTGGAACTACAGGCATGAGCCACCACGCCCAGTGTGTGTGTCTTTAAAGAAAGAACAAGGGAGTGGCTGTCTGCACAGTGGGCTGGACACTCAGGGAGAGGGACTGGCCAGGGGAGGGGCCGACCTGGCATGTGCACATGGCCTGGAGCCCGCGGGCTGCTTCCTGGGCCTCAGTGTATCTCCCAGGTGGGCCCATCAAAGTGCCTGTGGTGACACTGGGAGACTCTCCTGGGGAGGCCGGGCAGGCCTAGTGGCCTGAAACCCCAACAGCCCCTGTGTCCGGCTCCAAAGGGGTGTTGGCTTTCCTGATCCGTCTCCTCTAAACGGGACGTTTTGGGCCGGAGAAGTGCTGACTTCCTGCAGTCACAGCCCCGCGGGCCCTGGGAGATGGGTGTGTAGAGGCTAGGCTGGAGCCGAGGCTGGAGGCCCGAGGGGGTCGCGGGTCCACCTGGCAGATATGCTGTGGGGGCCACCAAAGGGGGAACAGACACGTGGGCCAGTTCGCTCCAGCTCAGGCAGGAAGGAGGCGACGGAGGCCAGCCCGTGGTGGCCCTGCCACTGCTCTGTGACTGGCTCTGCTCTCCAAGCGTCCGTCTCCTCAGCAGCAAAATGGGGCGATAGTCAACAGAGCCACTGAGAACACTGCTGAAGCAAAGGCCAGGGAGTGGCTATGATCGGGCCTCCCCTGCCCCAGGGGGCCCCGGAGCCCCGTGAGGGTCGGGCAGGAGGCCCCTGGCCTCCCCAGAAGAGCCCCAGCTCTGCTCAGCGCCGCCTCTGGATCAGACAGGAGCGGGGAGCTGGACTTCTCCACGTTCCTGGCCATCCTGCACACACAGCTGGGGCAGGAGGACCCGCACAAGGAGATCCTGCTGGCCATGCTGATGGCGGACAAGGCCAAGACAGGCTTCCTGGCAGCCTCTGAGCTGCGCACCAAGCTCACCAGCCTTGGGGAGAGGCTCACCCACAGGGAAGGTAGGCGGTGCCTGGAGGCGGGGGCGGGAGCCCACAGACAGCGGGGGCCGCAGCGGCCTCCACTTGGGCCTCGCCTTTGGTGGGCTTCACCGTGGGCCTTCAGCTAGGCGTCCCCTTCTCCTGATGTGGAAGCAGGTGGAGTGAGGGGCTGCCAAATGGCAGAATTGGGAGTCTGTTATCTTACTTTTTATTTTTCAGAGACAGGGTCTCTTGTCGCTTGGGCTGGTGTGCAGTGGTGCCATCATAGTTCACCATAGCCTCCAGCTCCTGGGGTCAAGCGATCCTCCTGCTTCGGCCTCCTGAGTAGTTGGGACTATAGGCCCATGTCACCACACCTGGCTAATTCTGTAAGAAGAATTTTGTAGATATGGGGTCCCGCTATGTTGCCCAGGCTGGTCTTGAACTCCTAGCCTCAAGCACTCCTCCTGCCTCGACCTCCCAAAGTTCCAGGATTATAGGTGAGAGCCACCACGCTGGCACGTGTTTTCCAGCTGCCCAGGACTGCGTGTGGAGGACGCAGGGTTGGGAAGTTGGCCAGGGCAGGGAGGAGCTTTTGGGAGGCTGAGGATGGCCACAAAAGGCTGCCGTGGACACAGGCTGGAAGGGCTCTTCCTGCCAACATGGGAACAGGCTGGTGTCTTGTCCCGGGAACCCAGAGCCAAAAGAAACAAGCACAAAGAGTGGCTTTGGGGCAGTTTAGAACAAGGGTGGTTTTGTCTGCTTGGCGCTTTCTACATAGTTGGGTTTATTTTTCTCACGTAAACCTTCCGTCCCCCAAACACACGTGCTTAGAGGGAATGGTAGCAGACACCGCTTGTCACTAGGTCCTCCCTGGGGTGGGTGGGGAATGCCGGTTTGGAAGAGAAGGCAAGAGTGCGAGGCCGGTCCTGGGACGGAGCCAAGAGGTGGGCTGAGGCTCCAGAGACATGGGCATGGGGTAGCTTCAGGGACCAAGTCCTCGCCAAGATCCTCTGCTCCTGCCCAGCAAGGGGCCGACCATCAGCTGGCCCATGGCCTCTAGGTGGGCTGGGACCCTTTCTGTTCCCTGGTTCACCTTCTGCCTTCAGGAAAGGCCAGCTGGATGCCCGGGGAGGCCTTGGGCTGGCCTGGCCCCCCCAGAGCCTACGGTGGAATGGCCCGTCACCGGGGCCAGCCTGACTGCCACCGTGGTTTCTTGCAGTGGACGAGCTGTTCCGGGAGGCGGGCATCGAGCCCACCGGCACCGTGCAGTACGACGAATTCATCCGCAAGATCACCCTCCCCGCCCAGGACTACTAGGGTGGACCAGTAGCTTTCCAGGCCTGGGGATGGGGACCTCTTCACTTGCAGGAGATGGTGGACACTGTGGTGGGAGGACATTACCCTGCAGCAGTGGAAAGCCAGTGGGAATAAACAGCGTCAGCCGCAGTCTTGAGCGTGTCTTTAATGAAATACCTGGCTTGATCTGAATAGTTGCCATGAGCCCAGCTCTGTCTGGCGTGTGGGGTCACAGTCAGCCCTGCTGCTTCCCAGCAACAAGGCAGATCATCCTGCCTCAAAGCCTTAGGCCCTCAGAAAGCTGGGCTCCTGCTTCTCACCACATGGTGCTGGCTGAGGAAGGCCCAAGGCAGACGATGAGGCAGCGGCCCCCAACCCCAGGCCAAGCAGATACTAGGAACTGGGCGGCACAGCGGGGGGGGGGGCGGGGAAGCAGTGAGGCTTCATCTACATGGACAGCCACTTCCCCTTGCTGGCATCACTGCCTGAGCTTCAACTGTCAGATCAGCGGTGGCATTAGATCCTCATAGGAACATGAATCTGACTGTGAACTGCGTGTACAAGGGATCTAGGTTGCGTGCTCCTTGTAAGTCTAATGCCGGATGGTGCCCCCTCCCCTGTTTGTGGAAAAATTTTCTTCCACAAAACCCATCCCTGATGCCAAAAAAGGTTGGGGACCACTGATGTGGGGCTCCTGCCACCAAGGCGCTTCTCCCGCTAGGGTGGACCCAAAGGCCTCATTCTTGGTCAGGTATTGGGAGACAAAGCCCGGCCAGCTGGGAAGTGGCAGCAGGTGTGGCTGGAGCCAGCGTGCCTAGGTAGCACCCGGGCCCCTTTCAGGTCCTCTTGCCGTAGATGGGGTGAGCGGTTTGTGGTGTTCACGGTCAGCACAGGGCAGAGTGACACACTCCCAGGCTGCCACATGCAGCAGAGCTGAGGCGGGGAGGGGTGCCCCTTACACCCCACATGGCATCAGGGCTGTGCACTGCACCCCAAGGCCCTGCAGGGCTTGAGAAGGTCCTTCTGACGTGCCTGGAGGAACTGTGAGCTGTCCCTGGTGCTGCTACCAGGCAGAGGTCTTAGGACAATCTGCTCAGGTGGCCCAAACTGAGCACAGCCCTCACCCCATTCCCAGGACAGAAGGAGGAACCCACGTGGGCCAGGCAGCCCATCGGCTCGTGGGGCTCCAAGTGTGTCATGCAGGCAGGAGGTGCCAGGCTGGTGGTGTGTGGGCTCAAAGGTGCCATGGACGTGTCATACCTGTGGCTGCATGGCAAGGTCCCAGAGGGCAGAGTGCCAACACAGGCAGGGTCAGGGCCCTGACAGAGGCCTCTGGCTTGGCTCAGTCGGGTGGTGCCCTGTGGTTGCAGCGGGAGACCCGTCAACGAGGGGTGCGTCCTTGTTACTGAGGGGCCTGGACACACAAGCCCAGCCATCAACCTCCCCAAAGGGGTGGCTTCAGACCCAACCCAGGCCTGAGAGAGGAGACTCACTCCCTTTCCCAGGGGTAACTGCCAGAAGGGGTGAGGGTGGGGTGGGGGTTCGTGGCCCAGTCCATGGTTGGAGCCTCTGGCGGGGGAGCCCGGGTCCCTGCAGTGCAGAGCAGATGTGGCAGTTGTAGGCTCTGTGGCTGCCTGTTCTGGAACACAGAATTATGCACTGGACTCCTGGGTGAGTCCACCGGGGGCTGTCTGGGCCTGGGCCCCAGGAACTGCTGGCTTCTGCATGCAGGCGGGGCTCCCAGTCCGGGCCCACAGCACTGGTGCTGCAGGCAGCCCAGAAGATATCAGGAACTGTGCTGGCACAGGGGAGGGTGCTCTGGGCTGTGACAGTGTGCAAGGGCACCTTGCCTCAGAGCTCTTCCTTGTCTGTCATGGAAGAGCCCACAATGGTTTTACTGCAAAGTTTATGAGGCTCACTTGCCTCGCAGGAACTCTGCGGTGCAGCAAGCCAGGACACAGCTGGCATGGGGCGGGCGCCAGGGCCTGGGCTCTGCTATGCGACTCGCTGCTCCTCAAGGGGACTCCATGGCCCAGAGTCCAAGGCCCGGGGGTGTTCTGATCTAAGCTGCTACCCCCGAAAGGGCTTCTATGCACCCGCCCTGGTCTGTGCCCATTCCTGAAATTCCAGCTGATTTACCCAGCGCCACGTGTCGCTGACAAAAAGGCTGTGGTGCTCTTATCACTCGACCTGAAGATATGAACTGACTTCAACCAAGGGACGCTGGCATGTGACAGAGCCAGCCCTCAGTGAGAGGGGGGCGCACTCACTAAACACTACAAAGTCCGCTGCAAGATGGTCACCTGTCTCACTCTGACACAAACCACTGTCACTTGTCTCAGTGTCCAAGGGGACCCTGTATACCCAGCAGTACTATTTTACAGCAGACAAATTAACTGAAGGCTTTTCTTTTATTACATCTAAAGAGCTCTACATAAACAGGTAACATTCAATAGGTAAACAATTTTTTTTCCAATGCATGTAATAAATATTTTCACTTGGTACTTTTATACAAACTGACATTGTCTACTATACATTTTTAAAAGCCATTTTACTGGTTTGGCATGCGGTATGGAAATTCTAAGAGAGAAAGTTTAAGGCAATGAATCACAGATTTAAGTTCATGGAATCGATGGTAACTTGATCTCTGTCTATATACATTTTCCCCTTGTTAATTACACAGTTAACAGCAGCACACTCGGCAACATTGCCGCTCCCTCCCGCCTTCTGTAATCTAAGCTTTGTGTGTACTTAAAAAACAGAATTCAACATGTATCAATAAAACAAAATTCTTACTAAAATAATTTCATATGTGCTTTAAAAAGTCCTGAAGATCTTAAAAGTTTTATGTATTTAAAATTGAACTTGTTTTAGAAACAATGTTCCTTCCACATTAATGTACAATTAGGATATATTTTCATTCCGTTTCAGACATTTGACTCAAAGGAAAATCTGCCAATAAATCACATTTTTCAGAAGCTTAAGTGACTCCTTCCTAAGTCAGTAAAGACAGAGAACTGTGATAATGTCCAAACTAATAATAGAACATTTTAATGCTCAAAATAGTCAACCAAGTAAGTGTGGCATGGTTAGGGTTCAGGTTATTTTTCTAAATAAAGATGTGTCTAATAATGCCCACAAAGTAATTAAAAGCCACTTCAACCCCACTAGTCAAACACGATTTTATCAGACATGTGTGCACACAGCACTGTGCAGAAACAGACACGTGCACACCTGTTAGGAAAGACTGAGGCAAGGGGACACGTCCGCAGATAGTTGTCGGTGTGGGCAGGGGTAGGGGTGAAGATAGGATGGAGTGACTGTGCTTTCTTAAGCTTGGGAGACACAGATGTCATGCTGACTCGACCGCTCATCTCACACAGAAAAGTGGGACTGAATGATGGTGACCATGACATTGACAGTGACAACTATTAATGCGACAGCTCAGAAAGTCAACAACTGAAGAGTGGAATGAACTACAGTAGAGACAGCCGAGCAGAGAGGGAGGTTCCCGCAGAGACAAGGCAGAGCCTCTGTGCACAGACGAGATACTCCCAGGACCTGTCCTTCCAGCAGGACAGTGGTGGCCCTCAAGGAACAGCCCCCTGGAGCTGCCACAGGAGGCTGAGGGACAGGTTTCCTGCCAGATCATTAGGGGCTTGTGAGTCAGCATCAGACACAAAGCTATTGATCAGAATTGCGAGACCACTAACAACAATGATAGCAAAGGAAACAAAACAGGGATAAAGAAAAGGACTCACTTTCCCTCTGGCAGCTGAAATGACAGAATTGTTTCCTACTGCAATGTAACATCAGAAACAACTCCCCACAGCCTTAGCAATGTCTACCCCAAACCAAATTTTGACACAAATTATGGAATTAGAAATTAGCCTAAATTAATATGACGAGAGTTCTCAAAATGTTTGGCTCACCATAACACCAGATCCATTAAATAACATAACTATTTCCTGTTTTAACTGACAGTAAATCTTTTTTTTTTTATTGCAAATTGCTTGGTGGCTGCAATGCAGCCACGTATATGTGGAATCCACACGTGTAGGGGAAGACCATGGAACTCACTTGTTACTCACACACACCTGTTTATAAATACATATATACACGCACACATATACATATCAACACCAAATTTTTTTTCAAAATTCAAGTCAACAATTTAGTGGCGGAGAGAGGCTGTAAAAACATTATTCTTAGATGCACACAGTCATGTGAAACACTAATGTTACCATACAACTGAAGCACAGCCATCTTGAATTCTACCTGGGTTAAAGTAGGTCATTTTTTTCACCAGTGCAAGATTTAAAGCTACACGTTTATACACAAAGGTGGTCCTTCATCAATTCTGAGAACATTAGCAGTTGGAATAGAAAAATCCAGTCAAAAACTGGCGATCACTATGTCCCTTCTTTCTCTTTTCTGTCAAACCTGCATTCTCAATCAACAACAAACCATTCTCCACACCTGAGAACACCATACCTTCTCTGACAAGGATCTGGAAACAAGCAGAATCACTTTTCCTTCCCTCCAACCCTTACTCATCTCCTGAAAAAATGTTTCAATATATTTACATGTTCCATTATTAGTTAAGAGTAGATCAGACTGATCCATGAATTCTAAAAAAAAAATGACTTTCCTATGGCATACTTGTTAAAAGGTGAAGAAAAAAATAAACAAGGTAGGGAGGCTAAGAAAATAGATACACTTAGAATCAGAGAGTAAAACTAAGGACCAAACACATTTGGAATTTCAACTGTTTATACAACAGATTTCTACAGGTTGACATGTGTGGTGCATTGTACTTTCCAAACAGAACTCTCTGCAGGAGAAGTGACGGTGTGGCTTCCTTTTCGAGGTGATGGAGCTCACCTCTGTCAGTTGTACAAGACACCTGGCAGGGCTTTCTAAGCTATTTTTACTCCTACTTTGGTATGAAGATCTTACATGAAAACTTGTTACTCTGTGGCTAAAAAAAAGCAAATATTCACAGACTTGGTTAAAGTACACAATGCTAGCAGTCCAGATGTAGAATAAAGAGACTAAAGAGTGCCATGTCCAGGTCTGCTAAGCCTACCCCTCACCCGGAAAGCTTTATTCCAGTATCTCCAAAGCAGATTCTCAGGGGTGCGGAGCAAATAGGAGAGGAGATGTGATGGGGAACATGCAGCTGAGAGGCCCACACTTTAGTTCAAGACCCTCAAAGCACTTGGAAAGAAGCAGGCAACTGAGTAGAGGAACTGAACGCACACTTGGAAGAGAGGAACAGTGACGGCAGAAAGAGACACACAAATGCACACACCGAACACCCCAAGCCATGTCCCGGAAGCCCTGGCGGTGCAGTGGGACAGATGGGCTCATAACTTAAGGCTGGATACAACACGCACACACAGAACCAAGGCTGTCATTTCAGAAAATGGAAATCAAACTACCCCCAGCCCCTCCCCACAACAAAGAAAAGCCCACAATTTAAAACTTCATACATGCAATTCCTTTTCTGTTATTGCAAATAAAATAATGCCATTGAAGTAAAATAAAACTAAAACCATATGACAAATGATGAAAAAAATCTTCAGAATCCAGAAAAAATGAGCTGAAGGTGGTTTGTGGGTGCTTTTTTCTTTTTTCTTTTCTTTCCTTTTTTTTAAACAAGTGTTTTATCAGACAGGCAGTCTTAGATTTATATACAAAAGTAAAACTGAAAATATAGTTTTGTTCTCTGTACATTTCTTTTAATTTTTTCCCTAAAAAAAGGAAAAAACACGCTTGTGAACTTTTCTGACATAACAAGGTAAGACAGCACGAAGTTCTCCCCTTTCTGCCAGTCCATCTCATCTGGGGGGATGCCGTGGTGGGCTCAGTCCAACGAGATAATGTCTGGGATGATGCCGAAGATGGACGCCGTGTCTGTGCCGCTCCTGCTCGAGCCACTGTGGCCATGGCCCTCCCGCAGGCTAGAGGAGGACACGAGACTGCTGTTGCTGCCACTGCTGCTCCCATTGGTGGTGGGCAGGGAGGTGCTGCCCCCTGCACTCAGTTGGTCCAGGAACATCTGTGAAGAGGCGTATGGGAAGAAGCGGGACGAGTGCAGTAGGTCCTGGTCATCTGACACGGCAGCGGCGGCGGCGGCCAGCAGGGAGGTGTTGTAATGCTGCGGGGAGACAGACACAGCACGGTCGTCACGCTCGGGAAGCAGGACAGAGTCCTGCATGTCATACAAGTATCCTGCACTCCTGAAACACCTAGCAAGACACTCTGCAAAATCAAATGGCCTAGGCAGTGACTGGAGCACTGATCTGGAGACAGTTTTGCATCTGAAACTGGATAAACAAAATACAATTTTTGTTTTAATTTGTATTGCAAGCAATGGTCAATTCTATTTCCCAAGAAGCATGTGCACAGAAGGACAGTCCACCCTAGGCCAGGAAGGAGATATTTAGCCAAGAAATCTACCAGGCAGCATGATCACTGCCCTCTGTTCCTTAGAAAATACTGGTGACCAACAAACTGGCTTACTCAGGCACCACAGAAACCAGGCATTCTTATGTCATTTTTAAAAGCCATAACAATCATGAGTATGATCACTCTCAATTTTCCAAGGAAATTTATTCTGTCTCTTGACTACATATTACACTTTTAAATACAGTCATGCGCTGCTTAACGACAGAGAAACATTCTGAGAAACGCATCGTTGGGTGATTTCATCTTTGTGTAAGCACAAAAGATTGTACTTACATGAGCCTGGACGGCGTGGCCCGCGACATACCAGGGCTGTGGGCACAGCCGATGGTTCCCAGGCTACAGACCTGTACAGCACCAGACTGGATTGAATGCCATGGGCAACTAACACAATGCTGAATATGTTCATATCAAACATAGCAAAGGCATAGTGTAAGTACAGTATAAAAAAGAAAAATTATCTGCCTGTGTGGGCACTTACCAGGAATGGAGCTTGCAGGCCTGGAACCAGGACCCAGCGGCTCTGGGGGAGTCAGTGAGTGAATGTGGAGGCCTAGGATGCTGCTGTGCACCAGGTGACTTTCTTTTTCTTTTTTTTTTTTTTGAGTTGGAGTCTCACTGTCGCCCAGACTGGGAGTGCAGTGGCCGCTCCCAGCCACTGCAGCCTCGACCTGCTGGGCTCCGGCGATCCTTCCACCTCAGCCTTCCAAGTAGCCGGAATTACAGGCATGCGCTACCACACCCGGCTGATGTTTTGATTTATTGTAGAGATGAGGTCTCACTGCCCAGGTGGGTCTTGAACCCGCAGGCTCAGGCAATCCACTCACCTCAGCCTCCCAAAGGCGCGGGATTACAGGCTGAGCCACCGAGCCCGGCTCCAGGTGACTTTCTAAACACTGCACACTTGGCTACACTAACCTTATAAACACATTTCTTTCTTTCTTTTTTTTTTTAAAGTCAGAGTCTCACTCTGTCTCTCCCATACTTGTAGTGCAGTGGCACATTGACAGCCACCACAGCCTCAACCTGCAGGGCTCAGGCAATTCTTCCGCCTCAGCCTTCCAAGTAGCTGGAACCATAGGCACACACCACCACACTCGGCTAATTTCTTTTTTTTTTTTTTTTGAGTTGGAGTCTCACTCTTGTCACCCAGGCTGAGTGCAGTAGCACGCTCACGGCCGCTGCAGGCTTGATGTGCTGGGTTTAGGTGATCCTTCCGCCTCAGCCTAATTTCTTCATTTATTGTAGAGACAGATTTCACCAAGTTGCCCAGGCTGATCTCAAACCTCTGGGGGCTCAGGCAGTCCTCCTGTCTCAGCCTCCCAAAGTGCTGGGAATACAGGCATGAGCCACTGTGCCTGGCCACAAATTTTCAATAATAAACTGACCTTAGCTTACTGTTACACTTTTTAATTTTTAAAAATCTTTTGAATTCTCTACACACTTTCTTCTATTTTTAAATCTGTTTTTTCTTTACTTTTAAATGTTTTGCTAAAAATGAGGACAAGAAGCATGCATCAGCCTCGGCCCTTGCAGAGTCAGGACCTTCAATGCCGCCATCTTCCACTTGGACCCCTGTCCCCTGGGAAGGTCTTCTGGACAGCAATATTCATAAAGCCAACCCCCTGTTCTGACAACCTGCTTCTGGAACCTCCTGAGGAACTTGCCCGAGTCTCCGTAGGCAGGTGTCACTCTTCAGAAACAAGCCTATGGTGGCGGGTCTGGTTGTCTCCTTTTGTCATCACAGATTTACTCGTAGTGGCTAAGGCATGTGAACATTCCTATTAACACAGACCCTTCAGGGCTGGGCTATGTCTTCAGACTCTTTAAGGAGCCTGCTGAGGTTTGTAAGAGCCCCTGCAGCCATGACCCCCTCAAGAGTCTCCTGCCTCTTCACTTGCCTTTCTTCTGCCCCAGACCCAGCAGCCCCCATCCATAAGCTCCTTAGGAACCATCTTCCTCATCCACACCCAGGTGAGGCTCTTGGCCATCCCAGCCTGTTCTTGGCAATTTTTTTTTTTTTTTGAGTTGGAGTCTCACTAAGTTGCCCAGACTGGAGTGCAGTGGCCGCTCCCGGCCACTGCAGCCTCGACCTGCTGGGCTCCAGGGATCCTTCCGCCTCAGCCTTCCAAATAGCTAGAACTACAGGTGCGCGCTACCACACCCGGCTAATTTTTTGATTTACTGTAGAGATGAGGTCTCGCCAAGTTGCCCAGGCGGGTCTCGAACCCGCGGGCTCAGGCAATCCACTCACCTCGGCCTCCCAAAGTGCTGGGATTACAGGTTGAGCCACCGAGCCCGGCCAACTTGGCAATTTTTGAACCACCTCGTCCTTGGCAAATATTCTAAGTCGGGGACAAAGATCCTGAGTGTGTTCTTCCAGACACTCCTTGGTAACATCACCCCAACCCAAATAGGGTTCCTAATGCAGAGCAGAGGCTGTAATCCTTCCAGAACTGCATCAACGTCTTCTCAGGGTCTTCCTAGACAGTGGGTCTTCAAGGTTGTTACACCACCTCGATTCATCAGTTGGGTCAAAGACGTGGATGGAGGGAGAAACGTCACTTTGATATTGGGATGAAGATCACTACTAAAGGGCGAATGTGTGGGTGCACTACTAACAGTGAGCCCAATCTTCAAAGCTATGTTATTCCTCAAACAGTACTTCTCCGTGTCACTGGCACAGCAATTCAGAAGGGCATCTTGGGAGAGGATCTGGTGCGTCCGTGACTTTTCCCTGCTCCTGCAGTCCACGGACAGTGTGTGCCTGCTGGCATGCCTGAAGGCTCAGGTTTCTTGCTGTACCAGAATCACAAAGGGTTTCAATGTGTGGCCAATGACACTGGCCCATGGAAGACTGTCCCTGATCCTTAGAACTTGAGACCTGGCACTGGTTTGGCCTCCTGGTGGAGGACAGCCCTTTTAGGCAGCCGTTTGCAGAACCGGGGCATCTCCCCCATATTGAAGATTTGCTCAGGCAAATCATTTTCCTCCACAATCAGCTTACCTAGAGCTCCCAAACACTCCTCCTCAGCCTTCGCACCAGCACTGCAGACTCACCACTCACTTTCCCGCTATGCAATAAACCACTTACAACACCCAGAGCTAACAGTACATTTAACATGGCAGTCAAGTGCAGACTTTTCTTTCAACACTGCAAACAATGCTTTACTCTGGCCATGATCATCAGAGAATGGAGAGGGATGCGCTTCTGTGTCTGGTCTTCGATCTAGGCCACTAGGAGTTTCTCATATCTGATTTAGGCCCTTCTCGAATTTCTGTTGGTCTTGTTGCCTTCAGTGAAACTGATCCTCTCACAGTTGCCAGCAGCTTGTCCCTGCTCTTCAGGACTGTAGCAATGGTAGAGGGGGAAGTGCCTGCCTGGCAAGCACTGACATTACAGAGTTTCACCTTCACAGTTCTTAATCCTGTTTAATTTTGTTTTACTTGACGTGGCCTCTTGCTGGCACTATCAGTTGTGGATTTTGTACGCTTAGAGGCCACGATGAACAAAACAAGATTAAATCAAGCACAAAGAGAAAATGATGCCATCAAGAGGTATGGGAAACAGGACGTACGAGACTGTGCTGGTGTAACACAGCAAGCTGCTTACAGTATACTGGTTATTTAATAAGTAGGTGTATACTCTCCAGTAACAGTAAAATGTAAATTTGTGAACCCATAACACAATCGTTTGCTATCACTGCCAAGTACCATGTACATGCTATACTTCTACATGGCTGGCATCACCAGACACGTGAGCAGCGCCTTGTGGCACAGCGTCACTAGGTGGTGGGAATTTTTCAGCTGTACTATCATCTTATGGTACCACTGTCATCTACGTGGTCTGTTGTTGACCAAAACATCATTATGCGGCGCATGACTGTATTTTTAACATACAATTAAAATAACAATTTTTTTCATAACATACCTGATTGTCTCCTGATAAGAAAGGAAAGAAATCTAATCCTGTAGAAGAAAAAACTATTTTAGTTTTGAAAACTAAAAAGCCAAAGCCAAAGAAAAAAAACCCCTCTTTGAAGCACCCCAATAAACCAAGACAAGCCCTCATCCACTTCAACATGAGGAGCCAAGCTCCACATGATGTCTCTCCCAGTTAGACTGCGAGGGCCAAGACAGGCTTCCGCAGCGGCTGCCCCCATCGGGGACATGGCCATCATCGATCCTGTAACCCCACACAGTTCCAGTTCCAAATGCCCTGATTCCCTCGTCATCCCCACTGTCTCCAAGCTACTCCTCCCCACACCTCCGGAGGTGGGCAGTGACTTCTAGCCTCCACCTGCAGGTGAGATCTGCAGGTGAAGGTTCAGTGAGCTGGAGCAACAAACTTCTGTCTCCAGCCTGCTTCCCTGCCCCCACTGGTCCCAGACTCTAACTGAGAGTTCCTGCAGTGGCATAAGGGGCAGTATCTGAGGATCTGAGGTCTGGTGGGAACTGTCACACACAGAAGGACCAGCCTCGGTCCTGGCTGCTGGGATTCCCTGCATGCAGGCCCCTCTAAACCCACAGTGTCCTCCATACCCTGATGCAGCCAGTGAACCAGCAGATGGAAGTATGGCTCTGGGAGGGCTGTCTGGGGAGAGTGCAACAAGCGAAAGGGGAGAAAAACAGGACACTAGTCCTCGGGGATCCATCCACGTCAACACCAGTATAGGTGACAACACAAAGCCCAAAAGGGGCACAGCATGCAGTTCTGGAGGGTAACAGCATGTTTCATACATGGAGAAAAAAGAAACAGAAAGTATCCAGCAAATTGCTAAAGAAGTGGGCCTGGGCACAGGCAGATGGAAGTTTTCACTCTATGTTTCTGTATTGAATTTTCCACATATATGAACATATATAGCTTTTTGTATTAAAAAAGTTCTTAGATTATATGACTAATATATAAATTATTAAATTACAAAACTATGAGAATAATTCTTTTTGACAGTGAAAATTGTTATCATAAAACCAAAATATATTATATAAACGAGTACTGACATTACAAACTGTTTTAAAAAGAAGGATCAGGTTCACTGGAACAAAAATTAAAACTTTCAAATGTCTCAATTCAGTGTTATCTAAAAGGTAGTACAATATAGCCTCAATGCCTGCTGCATTGTAACTTAGATCAACACATGAAAACCAATGCTAAAAAACATCCACACTCAAAGCTACACACTCCCTGGAAGCCATCACAAACAGCCTGCAGGGCACCATGCCGCTCACAGAGCCTAATAAGGCCACCATGCCAGGTGAACGGTGGGGAGAAGCACGGCTACCCAAGGCCCAGGCAGGGATCGTGGCCATAGCATGTCATTTCCCTCCCTTCTGGTCCAGGCCTTGCCTCCTAACCTGCCCATTCTTCCTCAGCCTCACCTGCACAGGACTCTCTAGACCAGAGACACCCACCATGCTGGAGGCAACACCAAGAGCCAGGGCTTACCTTGTAAGTCATAAGGCATGGGTGTCATGTGGAAAGGGTGCCTGTAGTCCTGGATGAGTGAGGTGTTGATGTAGCTTGTATCAACAGCTGGAAGGCTCGGGGTGCGGGACACTGGGGATGCTTGGTGTGGAAGACTCAGAATGCTGTAAGAGAAAGGGGCTTGCATCATTTTTATGAATCAGTCAGACTTTTAAGTTTAACCAAGAAAAGGGTGCAGGGGTGGCCATTCACAGTGAACCTCAAGATTTGTGCTAGGAATAACAACAAAAAGCAAACAAAGCAATATGCAATTTATACTATTCATGATTATGAGAAGATGCTATGTACAAGTCACAGCAAATGTTGCAGGGAGGAATGGAGGGATACAGCGGCACCCAGCATTCCTAAACCACAGGCCATCTGCTGAGTGTCAGCACCTGCTCTTTCAGAGCACAGGGAGAAGGCCCAACAGAGCCATGCTCACAGGCTGCAAGTGAAAGACAGTGATAGCAAATGAAACTCTTAAACCTATCCATAACAACACTGGAGTGTTAGCTAGTAAAAAGCACAGGGGTGTTCCAGCAAGGAAAGCATATGCAGACAAGTCGGGATGGCAGCAGCCTGAGAGTTGGGAGGTAGGTGCTGGCCCCCATAACTTACAGCCTTATGAGAACAAAAACAGCAGAGCTGACCTTGGGACACATAAGGCCCAGTCCCACCATCAGCACACTTCTTGCACACAGCCCTGCTGAGCTGAATGAAGACAGCAAGACAAGGAAAGAAAGGCCCCAGCTGCACGAAGGACAGCGTGCTTTCAAGGGAGGATGAGTTTAACTGAAGACAGAGGAGAAGAGGACCCAGAAACACAGAGGAAGTACAAAACACTGAGGAGTCAAATTAGTTTTTTTCCTTTCTTCACCAAAAATTAAGGAAAAAGCAAAAAGAAGAAAGGAAAAGGAAGAATTCAGCTGATTTTGAAAGGAAAAAAGAATTATAATAGCCCTGGAAGGAAACATAAGAGTTATGTTACCCCAACAACACAAGATGCTAAAGGTATGCAAGATATAGAAAATAAAGAGAAGAAAGTAACACAGAAGCTGTCTCCTGTTGTTAATACTTCATGTGAGTCCATAGGGTGCGGGGTGCAATTTCAATGTTACAGACTATTTCAAGATGTCAGGGTTGGAGTTCCAGGAATGGTTCATTTGTGACTGTTGGCCACATCCTTATGAATGGAACATAAAGCATAAAACACTCACCCACCTCATAAAAATGTTTCATCTAATGGAAGCTTCCTTAAGCCCCTTATGGTTGTAAAAACCCCATTTTCCATTAGCTGTGTCCTCTGACAATGTCTAAGGGGTGACAGAGAGAACAGAGCAGCTGAAACGCTAGTCTCTGAAAACATCTTGGGACACCAAACAGTACAGAGAACTTCTGGATGAATACTTGGCATTCAGTGGCTGAAGACAGCAGAAAGGTTCACATTAGTGCTGTCTGCCTCTTACTAATTTCCAGCTGGCTGCTTTTCTTTCAGTTACGTGAAGCCTGTTTTGAAATGCATCTCCACCTTTGCACTGCACAATAACAAACACCCCAACACAATATGCTAGGCTCAGATTTCTAGTTACTGGCTAGTCATGATTGTAAAATGGCTACAAGTGCTGACTATGGTGCTATTCTTCTAAAGATGTTATAAACTTTAAACCAGGTTTCTCATTTTTATCTGAAAATAGAGAGAGAAAGGCCTGGCATTTGCAAATTCTGTATCTGGGTTCAATTAGTTACTGGGAAGCTCAGGAAGCAGTTAATGCATCTAATGTAATTTTCTAAACATAATAAACAGAGCTATTTTTGGAGAAACAGCAAAGTAAATATCCGAAGAAGAAATACTTGATTTCTAAACACTCAAAAGTTTTAAGGAAAAATTTATATTTAGACAGTAAAACTATTGCACGATTACTATTAAATTCTAAAGAATAGAAATAGCATATATAACAACACATTTAACCCAAAAGTACTTATAAACCCAGAAGTTTAAGAAGTATCTTATAATGTTGCAATTATGGCATTAAAAAATCAGATACTTATATCTTGAAATCAAAATTCTATAGACACTTATTCTATTACTTTCAGGTAATCTGACTTTTCTTTTTCTCCTACTCATATTTACAAAACTTATAAAATACATCAGTATAGTAACAAGGTCGTGCTTGCTGAGTAAGTTATCAAGGTAGGATTTCATCAGAGGTAATGTCCATAGAGCAGGATTAGTGTCTACATATTAACCTTGTTTAGAATAATAATACTGCTTTTATTTTATTTATTTATTTATTTTTATTTTTTGAGTTGGAGTCTCACTCTGTCGCCCAGACTGGAGTGCAGTGGCCGCTCCCGGCCACCGCAGCCTCGACCTGCTGGGCTCTGGCGATCCTTCTGCCTCAGCCTTCCAAGTAGCCGGAATTACAGGCATGCGCTACCACGCCTGGCTGATTTTCTGATTTATTGTAGAGATGAGGTCTTGCCGCCCAGGCAGGTCTCGAACCCGCGGACTCAGGCAATCCACTCACCTCAGCCTCCCAAAGGCGCAGGATTACAGGCTGAGCCACCGAGCCTGGCGTTTATTTATTTTTGAGTCAGAGTCTTACTCTTTTGCCCATGCCGGAGTGCAGTAACATGCTCACAGCCATAGCAGCCTCGACCTGCTGGGCTCAGACAATCCTTTTGCCTCAGCCCTCCAAGTAGCTGGGACTATAGGCATGTATTACCATGCCCGGCTAATTTTTTGTTTTATTGTAGAGACAACATCTTGCCGAGTTGCCCAGGTCTTGAACTACTGGGCTCAGGCAATCCTCTTGCCTCCGCCTCCCAAAGTGCTGGTGTGAGCCAGCACTCCTGGCCAATATGGCTTTTAAGGACTTTGTTTCTGTCTGTATGCTGAGATAAGTCACCCTAGAACGAAACTACCAACCTGTGTAATCTGTTTGACTGAAATAGTTTATTTTTGTTATACGGTACCCAACCTGCACATGACTGGAGTCCAGGCACAGAAATGCCTGCTCTTGGCCTGGAGTCAGTTTCCCTTCCTGAACTCTGAAATCTGTAGCAGAGCCACCTACAGCCTCCCCGTCCCTCTCTGCGTTTTCTCCAGCACAACTGCTTGCTGGAAGACTTTCTGAGTCTCCTGGTACATACCGCAAAGGCCACTGACATCTGGAGTTACTATCGGTGTGCTCCGTTGGGGCCTCAGCAGGGCATGGAACCTCCGTGCTGAGCACCTGAATACCCACAGGTCACCTGCTGCAGAGTGCAGCTGGGCCTGCTGCTGGCCTCACTGCCTATGGGTGCTCGGCCCTCACAGCTGGGGCTGTTCTGGTCTTTTCAAACTTATTATCACCCACGTCCAGCACAGGGTGTTTCACACACAACAGATGACAGCGTGCATGAGCTCAATTGCAGCATGGGCAAGATATGTTATTACAGGTCTGCAACTCGTGGGGTGGGGACACCTGTACATTGGGAACCATGGTGGGCCGTCCCTTCCAGCAAGCAGCCTTGATCCCGCTGGCCCCACACGTTGTGAGGCAGGCCTCGCTCACTCAGCTTCCTCTGCTCTGCACTCAGAATGCTCCACCTGGGCTGATTTTACAACATACACTTTCCAGTTTGAATAAGTGTCCTACATCCTAGGAGCAGGATTGGGATCACTCAGAAACTTACTAGAAATACACTCAGAAATACTGACTCAGACAGGGGGAGAACCGCAAGCACTGCAATCAGCAAGTCTCAGGTGGTTCTGAAGCGCCAGTCTGTGCCGGAATCATCTTTTGGCATGATGAATACTAACTATATCCAAGTGACCCTTTAACACATTATCCCAATTCCTCAAAAATATCACACACAGCTGGGCTTGGTGGCTCAGCCTGTAATCCCGCACCTTTGGGAAGCTGAGGTGAATGGATTGCCTGAACCCGCGGGTTCGAGACCTGCCTGGGCAACTTGACGAGACCTCATCTCTACAATAAATCAAAAATCAGCCAGGCGTGGTAGCGCGCGCCTGTAATTCCGGCTACTCGGAAGGCTGAGGTGGAAGAATCACTGGAGCCCAGTGGGTTGAGGCTGAAGTGGCTGGGAGCGGCCACTGCACTCCAGTCTGGGCGACGGAGTGAAATTCCAACTCAAAAAAAAAAAAAAAATCACACACCTGGGAAAAAAACTCAGCCAAGTCTTTATTGCTAACTTGAGTTTTTTAGTCAAGCATAGTCACTTTATCTGGCAGGTCTTTAATCCCTACAGCCAAATTTATCTTCACAATGGCTTTTTAAAGGTCCCACACTTACCCTTTATTATTTAGTGGTGATGTGGGTGACAGGGAGGGACAGGTCCTCTTGGCAGATGGCTCTTCCTCCTCTTCATCAGATGAACTGTCAATAGTTAGGTCAATCACCTCCACCTTCTTGTTCTTGTTTGAGGACTGGTGGTGAGAAGTCACCTGGTGCTCCAGTGTGGAGCTCAAACATCCTGTGAGGGAATGGGGGGAACACAAGATCAGGAGAACCAATGACAATCCTCTTTCCCCAGTGTCCCTGTAAACTATGAGTTACAATTCAGGCTCAGTGCTGCTGGGGACAGAGAGTGAAAAACCAGCAGTGGCTCTAGTTTACTACATTTAAAATTATTACTGATTGGCTGGGCACAGTGGCTCACACCCATAATCCTAGCATTTTGGGAGGCCAGGTGAGAGGATTGCCTGAACCCATGGGTTGGAGATCAGCCTGGGCAACTTGGCGAGACCTCATCTCTGCAATAAATCAAAAAATTAGCCAGGCATCATGGCACACACCTGTAGTTCCAGCTACATGAAAGGCTGAGGCAGGATTGCCTGAAACCATCAGGTCAAGGCTGAGGTGGCTGTGCGTGTGCTACTGCACTCTAGCCTGGGTGACAGAGTGAGACTCTGACACACACACACACACACACACACACACACACACACACACACACACAAATTACTACTTATCACTAGTTGTAAGGAGTTATTTTGAGAAACAATACTGAATCAGTACAATCAAAATGTGCCTTAAGTCTACTTCAGCATAAAAGCAAACTGAGAGCAGAGACATATGTATTACATATTTTCATCTGTATAGTACCTGACATTCTTAAGAAATATTATGGTAACTAGGAGTTAAATAAAAAAAGAAACCAACTTCTAGTCTCCTTCCAGCAAAAACACACCTAAAAGCCAGGAAGAAAAATGTAAATGAAAAAAGAACGTTCACCACTTTGTACCCATTCTGTTAAAAATCTTTAAAGGATACTGTTTCAAAAGCATGACTTTACAAATCACTTATTAAATTACATTACCTTGAAATCTTATACCAGAAAATTATAAAAGCTGTCAAAAAAGTGAATTTAAAAGGAGTTCTATTACTTTGGAACATTTACCAAATAATCTACTAAGAATTATTAAGCTCTCCATAAACTGCACGTGTTTTTTTGAAAAATATGCTTTTAATACAGAAAACTGAGGCTAATGGCAGCAAGGAGCCTGCCCCACCCTGGAGAAGCAGTGCCACTCACCGTCAACGCCATTGTAAGAGGCTGACACTTCCTGGACCTCTTTTTTTGACCTCATCGGCGCCCACGAGCCATCCTCTTTAAACTGGATTTCATCACAGTCTGTGCAGTACTTTAGGATTTCCATAAACAAGCTATAAAAAACAGTTGGTCCTCAGAAGATCACATTTTAAATGAAAATAAATTTTAAAAATTACTGTTCAGAAAACATTCAGACGGTCAAACAGTTAAGCTATATTTGTTCTTAAAATCTAGTACTAAACAGGAACAGAGTTACTTAAATGATGGTACAGTTATGTAAGAAAATATCATGTAACCATAAAAAAAGATGTTTTCAAAGATTTTTAATAACATGGGAAAACAGTGACAGAAAGTGGGGAAAAAAGGCCAACAAAAGAAAACTACATTCAAAAATAAAATTGTCTGTGAGTAGTATATAAATAGCAGTTATTCTGGGGTTGTGACTTCATAGGCATGTATTTTTCTTATTTATACTTTTTTGCATACTCCAAATTGCCTCCAATAAGCATGCCTTATTTGGTAAACTAAAGCAACACATACAAAAATGTAATCAAGTATGTAGTCTCCCTGACAAAAATGCATATATGAAAAAAGTTTGCAGAGAATGCACTAAAATTAATTGTAGTCAAATTCTTAGGCTATGTTAAATAAAATCAGAGGCTACAAATTATTAACACTGTACAATGATGCAAAACAAAAAAAACATTGTACACCAAAAAAACTTTTTATTCTTCTGTTTTCCAATTTTTCTTTAAGGAGTACGTATGTGTGTGGCTTCTGTAATAGGAAATCAGGAGTTGAAGCTATGGAACACCCATATGAGCTAAATATTCTTCTTCATTCAGATTTACTAGTTATTTTTTATTTTTATTTTTTTGAGTTGGAGTCTCACTCTGTTGCCCAAGCTGGAGTGCAGTGGCACCGTCACAGCCCCTGCAGCCTCAACCAGCTGGGCTCAGGTGATCCTTCGCCTTAGCCTTCCTTCCAAGTAGCTGAAACTACAGGCGCGCGCTACCACGCTTGGCTTGTTTTTTATTTATTGTAGAGACGAGGTCACGCCAAGTTGTCCAGGCTGGTCTTAAACCCCTGAGCTCAGGCAATCCTCTCGCCTCGGCCTCCCAGAGTGCTGGGATTATAGGCTTGAGTCACCGCACCTGGCCACTAGTTACTTATTAATCACTGCTTTTTCTGAAAAACTAAACACAGAGCATTTAAGTCACATGTTTATCTTTTTCCATCTTTCAAGCTACAGGTTATGCCTGTGTTGCTAAATCGACTCCATTTCTTTTTTTCCCACTGTCTTCCACTCTTTTACGTGTGTGTGTGTGTGTGTGTGTGTGTAAATATATATATGTATGTATATAGATGCAGATCTGTTTTATGTACAATTTGGTTCTCTCAAATAATCAGACAAAGGCATTCTCCTGGAAGTTCTCTCCATAATCCGCTCAGGTAAAACTGAGTGTTTATGCACTTCATGAGCTGGCCAAACTTGAGACTTCATGACTGAGTTCGGTTCTGAGGTCAAACAGATACTTCAAAATATACATTAACTGGGCTAAGGTGGTAAAGTGGGCTGAAAGAAACCACAGGATTCAGCACAACTAATCTGTGTATTTTGCTTGCATTAGAGTCACAGTGTGAACAGCAAATACTGGGCATGTCTCAGCTCTTGTATGTGGTGCGCGTGGTTTCTAAGGTGACTGTACAGCGGGTGGGCAGACAGCTGAAGCCACCTGCTGGAGGCTTCCCGAGGGCTCATTTCTTCTCCACCTTGCCTTCCTTCGGTTCGTGTTTCAGTTTGTAATCAGCTAGGGCAGCCTTGATTGCATCTTCAGCCAGCATGGAACAGTGCAGCTTCAGGGGAGGCAGGCAGAGCTCCTTGGCAATATCTGAGTTTTTGATGGTCAAAGCTTCCGCCACCGTCTTTCCTTTCACCCACTCAGTGGCTAAAGAGCTAAAGGCAACTGCAGACCCACAGCCAAACGTTTTAAACCTGGTGTCCACAATCTTTCCCTTTCTGTCCACTTGAATCTGTAATTTCATTACACCACCACATGCTGGAGCACCCACCAATCTAGTTCCAACATTTTTAGAAGTCTTGTCAAGGGACCCTATGTTTCTAGGACTTTCATAATGATCAAGAACCTTCTCGTGATAGAATGGGGCTGGGGGTCACAGCTCCTAGGCAGGCAGGCGCGGGCACTGGAGCAGCAGAGCTGATGCTGCCTGCCACAGACAGCCTGCTCCAGCATCTGCCATCTTTGACTCCATTTCTTATGTTACCACCCTCAGACTCATGTTTTCTCAAATACTACCGATAAATTGCCTTAAGTGTTTTGCTAGAAAGTAAAAGAAATGTTAAGTAGATATACTCTTCTTCACAATTTACTTTTGTTCGGTGGCATAAGAAAAAAAATAAGGAGGCTACAAAATAGGGGAAAATTTAGAGAACGATTCCAAGACATCTGATGGGATAGATAAAACATAGAAGTATTTTTTTGATTATTGTGATACTTATATGTAGACAAGACAAAGAAACAACAAAAAAAGACCATAACTGAAGCTTGATCTAATTTCCAGAAACAGGCTAACTTCTACTCAACAGCCCCATCTTTGATGACATCAGTAAAGCAGAATTTCACGATTCGCACATTCTTTCTCAAATACAGCCTGCATATTTAGAGGCAGGGGCTTCTGTTAGGAAGAGGGGCCAGCAGACTTTGCTAGGAACACCGGTGCTTTAAATGCAAATGTCAGGAGGCAATGACAGTAACACGTGACTTCAAAACAAGGGGACAAGTTAAAAAGGAAAAGTTTTCAAACATTACTTTGAAAATACTGATTTGTAGGATCATAAAAATCTAACAAATGTTTAGCTCATCTCAAGGCACATACCCATCAATAATAAGGTGTTCATATGGGGCCTTCTTATCGCAGACAGGACAGACCCAGGTTGGCTTCTTCTCATTCATCTGAATATAAAGAGTTGCATCAAAACACTGCAGATGAGAACACGTCAGGGCCCGACATGGAATTGTCAGTCGCATTTTACCAAGCTGTAAAAAAAAAAAAAACGGGGGGGGGGGGGGCGGGGGAGGAATAAATATTAGAAAACTGCTACTCAAGATTTAAGCCCTGAAAGAAATTTCTTGAAATGCAATATGTATATGTTCTGTCTAAGAGCATACTGTGTTTATTATTTGATGAAGAAGCACACTGAACACATTTGTTGTGAAACAGCTACAGGTTAAAAAGATGATAGTATTTCTTTGGACATCAAACCAAATGACCACAGAAAGTCTACAGTAAAGGTTATTTACTCCAACCCACAGCTCACAGATCAGCTTCAGGTGGGAGGCTCAGGAACCCCTTGAATTATAGTCAACATTTTGCATGTATGTGAATTTTTTCTAGAGAGAGTGCTCTTTTTTCTTAGAGACAGGGTCTTGCTATGTTGCCCAAGCAATTCTCCTGCCTCAGCACCCCCAGCAGCTGGGACTATAGGTGTACCACTGTACCCAGCATTAGCCAAATTCTCAAAGCAGCCCCTGATCCAAAAAAGTTAAGGACCAATTGACTATTAGGGAAATTAGGGAAAGAAAACAGGGATGCCTGTTCAAACACTGCAGGGCACGAGATACACTATCTATCCACTATCAGCATTATCCATGAATGGAGAGCAGTTCCCGGATGCCACAGATTCCCTGGCATGCATTGCCATACTGGCCGTTCACTGCCATACCAGTCAAGGCACTCTGAGGGGGAAGCCTGGTGCATGCTCTGCTTCCTCTCTCCCTGGGCGTCTCACAGGCAATTCAGCAAACAGCCTGGCCTCTCACAGCTCCAGCACTTCAGGAGACTTCTTCTCGCACAGTAGGTGTTGCCTGAGTTGACATGGGTTGAGTCTATCCCATGAAGAGCTGCAGGCTTTGGCCCAAGGCACAGAAGCACCCAGAACCCGAAACAGGAAGCTACCGTATCAGGCCTCTTCTCTCCTTCCAGAGGCCAGCACAGAAGTTATCTACATTTAAGAATCACACTATCTGCCAAGTACCAGGAAAAGACATTGGACATATTTGTGAGCTTGCAAAGTACAAAGTCTTGAAAAGAATAAAAGCGTTAAATTTTTAAAAATTCTTGACTTAGAAGAATTTGGAGAAAATGTGCAATCTCCTAGTCTACCAAAGAAATTGTCATTTGGGGTCCCAAATTATTGTTCTGGCACCAAGACTTCACTGTGTGCCTAGGAAAGGCACCTCACCTCTGGGAACCACTCCTCCTGGCTCCAAAGCAACACCATCTCCTCCTTCCTCCAAGCACCAGATGCAGTCAGGAAGGATTCCAAAAGGACCCTAGACATTCTACAAAGTATGAAAAAGGAGCAGTACCAGTTATGGCATCAGAAGTACAGAAGGGGGAGTAGACACTCCCTTCTCTGTGGTCCCAATGCTACCCCTGCACGTGACTACAGTCACTTGCCACATTTAAAGCACCAGTGGTTCTAGCAGAGTCTACTAGTCCCTCTTCCTAACAGAAGCCCCTGCCTCTAACAATGGATCTCCCATGAAGCAGAGGTTCCATAAGATTATAATGGAGTTGAAAAATTCCTGTAGTCTCGTGACATGGTAGCTGTGGGAACATCACAGCACAGTGCGTTCCTCAGTCACGTGTTGTGATGCTGATGTAGATAAACCTACTGTGTGCCACTTGTATAAAGTATAGTACGTACCACTATGTGCAGTACATGATCCTTGGTAATGATAGTAACAGACCACGCTCCTGGCTTAGGTATTTACTACACTATGCTTTTTATAGTTATTTTAGAGCATGCCCCTTCTACTTATTAAAAAAAAAAGTTAACTGTAAAGCAGTCTTAGGCAGATCCTTCTGGAGGTATTCCAGAAGAAGGCAATGCCATCACAGGAGAGGACAGTGCCACGCCAACCTGCAAAGGCCTTCCAGTGGGCAAGATGTGGACATGCAAGGCAGTGACACTGATGTCCTGACCCATACTGACTTAGACTAATGTGTGTGTTTGATGACTTAGTTTTTAACAAAAAAAGTTAAAAAAAGAAAAAACTCACAGAATAAGGATATAGAGAAAACATTTTGTACAGTCAGAAGATCTAAAAAAATTAAAGAGTACAGTCAGAAGATCTAAAAAAATTAAAGAGTCTATAAAGTTAATGGCAAGCTAAGGTTAGTTTATTATTGAAGAATACTGTTTTTCAAACAAATGCAGTGTGGCCCAAGTGTGTATTGCTCTGAACGTCTGCGTAGTGTATGGCAGTGTCCCAGGCCTTCATACGCACTCACCAGCATTTACCAACATTCCAGACAACCTCTAGTCCTGCAATATCCATTTGTGGTAAGCACCCTACACGGGTGGACCAATTTTTATCTTTTATACTGCAGTTTACTGTACCTTTTCCATGTTTAGGCACATGAAACACTAAAGAATTGTGTTCCAACTGCCTACCATCTCCTGTTAGTAATTTCCTGTATAGGCATGTAGCCTGGAGCAACAGGCTGCTCCACATAGCCCTGGTGGGTAGTAGGTGACACCACTTAGGTTAGGTACAATCTATGATGTTTGCACAGTGGCGAAATTGCCTAATAATGCAGTTCTCAGAACATATTCCACATCCATAAGTGACTATGGGGAGGGAACAAACCAGAATTATTTTTGGGAGGGCAGGCCCCTTGTAGTTCAGGCTTCCCTCACTAGGAACCTACTGGCATCAGTGGACCAGCTAGTATTGTTGGGAGAGGCTGCATTTGGCTTTAATGATTTTTTTTTGAGAATCTTTCAACATAATTGCCCATTTCATGATGGGTGACTTACAAGCACACCTGCCTACACCACACAGGGTTCAGCAGTTTTTGACCAAAAATGACATGACCCCCATGCCCCACCTTCCCTATTCACCTGATCTCGCCCTGAGTAACATTTTTTTGTTTCCCAGGACGAAAAACTCCTCAAAGGGAAATGCTTTGCCAATGTGGAAGAGGTGAAACAAAAATTGGCAGAAGCACTAATAGGTATCAAAATGGAGTTTTCCGCAAAAACTGTGGAAAAGTGTCTCAACAGGTATACTGCATCAAACGGAGAAGACTTTGAAAAAGGTGACAAGTTTAAACATGTGAGAATAAGTATACAATTTTTTTACAAATAAAAAGCATCTCAATAGGTGAATTGAATCAAACAGAGTATTTTGGGGTGACAAGTTTAAGCATGTAAGAATACATAATTTTTATAAATAGATTCCGGTTTTGGGGGATCCTCCTTGTACATATTTATGTGTGTGTCTCCTATTAGACATAGGTCAGACTAATCTCCTTGTCTCCAGTGCTTGGACATATAGCTGCAACACAACCGGAAGACAGCCCATGCCTTGGCAAGACCCTGCTGTGAATGCTGGGGGTTCTAGAGGCAGCACGCATGGAGGGTGCACAGGCCATGCTCAGCACTCAGGACACGGCCTGGAGTATGAGTTCTGCAGCCAGGTTGAGTCCTGACCCCCCTACAAACTATGTGAGCCTCAGCACTATTTTATTTAATCACTCAGAGGCTCAGTTTTATAAATATGCTTAAAATAGATCTACACAATGAGAGTGTGGGGACATAGATGACATTATGTTTACTGCACAGTGCCTGACACAGGGTATGTTTTCAGTAAATGGCACAATCACTGATGAATTAACGTGCACTGATATATCTGCTTGGAATCGCATTGTGCACTAGGAGACCCACCAAGCCTCAGCTCAGTCTTCCATTCTGCGCTTACACAATACTAAACAGTCTCCTTGCCCTGTACTGTTCTTCCATTCAGTTTTTAATGGTTTGAGTCACATAGGCACCTTATAAGAAGGACAGGTAACAAAGTCATTCTTGTAACAATCACATTAGGCAAAATATGCATTAGTTCTGCATTAGTCCAGAAACATCTCCCAAATAGCAACCTGGTTGGCGGTGCCAAGCTAACTGCTTATGTCTTCAGTTAGACCTAGCTGTGAAGCACAAATTCCTTCCAAGTAGATAATTTGCTATTGCTCAATAGTAGGTCAAGAAACCAGACTGAACATCTGTATTTTAGATGAATACAGTAGCAATGCGCTTGGCGCACAACCTGCAGAACTCTAATGCTACTTCTGATGGCTTATGAAAACAGTGAGTACAACAATAAGAACTTCCAGAATCCAAGTCAAGGGCGGTCACATGTATACTCTGAGAAGGACTCATTCCTCACAGCCTCTACTAACAGACCTCCATCTCACTACCTCCAGCTGTGAGCTCATGTCTGTCTGGCGAGAGAGTAAATCTCAAGCCCTCATGATCAGCCATACTGACAAGCTGACCCACAGAGTTCTAAAGGGAGGGATGGAGGGGTCAGGAATAACACTGACACATGGGCAGAGAAAAGCAAACATTCAATGCATTGTTTATCAGCTGTCATACAAATGCCTTGCTTAAAGAATCATGAAATAAGGGCTATGTGATGTTCTCATATTCCTGGCTTTTAAAAACAATCACTAAATTCTAAATACTTTATTTGACAAACAGACACCAATTTTCTCTAACTTGGTATAGGAGGGAAGCTGAGCTTTGGACATCTTCATCTCATGATTACAAATCCCGCCTTTCCCTTCATAGAATATGGACAGTGTTTGCATCATTTACAAACAAACACTGTGAAAAGAACTCTCAACATTTTCTAATGCTACTCACCTTACCATAATATAACTTGCTAGATTAGTGATAATGCTATCAGAGAAAATACTCTTTTTTTTTTTTTTTTTTTTTTGAGTTGTTGGAGTCTCAGTCTGTTGCCCAGACTAAAGTGCAGTGGCACACTCATGACCATCGCAGCCTCGACCTGCTGGGTTCAGGCAATCCTTCCACCTCAGCCTTCCAAGTAGCTGAAACCACAGGCATGCGCCTTCATGCCCAGCTAATTGTTTGATTTATTGTAGAGATGAGGGCTTGCCAAGTTGCCCAGGCTGGTCTTGAACCCATGGGCTCAGGCAATCCTCTCACCTCAGTCTCCCAATGTGCTGAGATTATAGGCATGTGCCACCGTGCCCAGCCTAGAAAATGTTATTTATATAGGTTTAAGACAGCTTATCTCAAAAGGGCCCTGAAAATATCAATATATATGCTCTTTCCTGGCAAAAAGACAGGAAGAAGTATATTAAGAAGAATTTTTACAAATTTTTTGCAACAATAACTATTTCATAAATAAATTTTCAGAGTTCTTTTTTTTTTCCTATCAAACTCCAAGTCATTTGTATTTGGGTTTACAGATCTTGGGAGTATTTCACAAAGCAGTTTTTCAAAGATTCTTCCAGCTCTACTTTTAATAAATCAGAATCAAAAAACTCCCAAAGAGCAAAAACATTTTAAATTGTTTTTGTTGCCTTTAGCTAAATGGCACACAAACAACAGAAACCCATTTATTTTGAGTTCTGTACCACAAGGGCAATTCAAATGCACAGTATGACATCATATGCACATAAACAAATCTCTTTTATTATTCTATAAATATGATATATAAATGAGTTGCTACTAAATTTCACTTTTGAGTAAAGACATGTCTAAACTATATGACCTTACTGTTCTAGAATACCTATGAAGGGATTATCCCCTTAGCCATATAAAAATCCGTGAAAATATTATAATTATAGACCAAGCACACACAAACACACAGTTGTTTTTCTCTATAATCTGAATTTTGAAGCAGATGTCAATTGGAAACTAACTGCTGCTGGGCTGATGGCTTACGCCTGTCATCCCAACACTTTGGGAGGCTGAGGCAGGAGGACTGCCCGAGCCCAGGAATTCAAGAGCTGCCTGTGCAACATAATAAGACTTCATTCTACAAAAAACAAAAAAATTAGCAGGGCGTGGTGGCGCACATGCCTGCAGTTCCAGCCACACAGGAGGCTGAGGCAAGAGGATCTAAAATAAAATAAATAAAATGAAATGAAATGAAATAAAATAAACTGCCAAAGACTATTGGAACTAAAGAGGGTGAAGCAGGGGGCACATGGGAAAAAATGGAAAAGATGGCCCACAAAACCAAGGGGTACAAAGGGCCAAACGGAATTGGCGACCTCTAGTAACACTGGGAAGAGCACCTGGACTCTAAACGCAGAAGTAGTTCCCTAAGTTAGAACTCCTCCGATTTACACAGGAGTGCCTATTTATATTAACAGATGCTCCACATAAGAGCTGAATGCTAAACACCATATATATCAGCACAACTACCAATACTTTTGTGGTGGGACTTTTTCCAGAGATTAAGATGGAAGATGAAGCATATGTACTTTTCTGAAGTTCTCCCTTTTCTGAATTGGTGTTACACAACGAAGTTGGACAGCAAGGCACCACAGTGGGGAACAGATGCACTAGGATTTGGGAGAAAGAGGACAGGGCAAGTGTATGTTTTTTCCTGTTTTTATTTTTAAATTTTATCTTCTTCCCACCTTCTAATTCCCTAATCTGTGAGCTATTTTTTTACATTCTAAAAAACATGTATACCAATTTCCTTTACAACAGGCTGTTATAACATTTATGTGGTTATTTGATTAAATAATATTTAACAATAACACAAAAAGCCTGGTTGTAGAGAGAGTAAAAATAAGTGATAGGAAGAATGAAGGATATATGCAATACGATAGAATGTGGTGGATTTTATTAACTTCATTGTGTTTTTTTCCTATAACCTACAAAAACTAATTCATGATCCCAAGACTTTTTCATACTGTGTTTGAGGTTTTATAAATTACAAAAGACTAAAATGTAGCACAAATAACATTTAATGTCTGTTTAAATTCTTTGTTTCTTTAAGAATATACTAACTTCATAAGATTAGTAGGATTTCAACCTCAGGCCTGCTAACAATTCAGGCAAATCAGGAAACAGATGTGTCCTGTCATTCTTCATACCTTCTCCCCAATTTAAACCATGATTAATTTGAATAATTATAAAAGAAAAGGCAATCAAAATGTCAAAATAATTTACTATGAATTTTTCACATATTTTCATATGAAAGCCATATTCAACTACAATCCCTACTAATGGGCTGCCTAAAATCAAATTACTTAAGATATAAATCTCAACAAATTTTTTGAAAAAATTTTTTCCTACTAGTTTAATAATTTGTTTAAGTCTTGGGACTATATATGTATTTCATAAAAATATTTGACTGACCCCATTTTCTGGCTTAAAAACACTGGGGTGACAAAAAAAATGTATATACATTTTAAGTAATGTTACTTATATATTACTTTTAGTTAGCTGTAATCAGAAGTGTCTGGACAATGATGGTAACCACTTAGAGCACCTCTTGTAATTATAGACATCAAATGTGACTTATATTCATCTTTTGTTATCAGTATATATTGAATATTACACTTTTAATACAGTTGTTCCTTTCTTAAAAGGTGCATACATTTTCTGGCACCCTCTATATTTCCATGTTATTTGTGCATGCATAACAAATTCAACTATTTAGGCTTAACAGAATAGTTTTAAATTGGTGAACTGTTATAATGTGGTAATTGTTGGTAAAATGGTTAAATTAAACAATCATGGCTGAATTTTTATTTAGAAGGGTACTATTATAAAAGTGAAATTTTAATAAATACATTGAGACTATAAAAATTCCTTATTTTGAGACTTTACACTTGAGCCTGAGAGGCAGTCATTCGTTACAGGACATATTTAGATATATCTTACTAAGAGTAGAAATTTTTTCTTTTTTTGAGTTGGAGTTACTCTGTTGCCCAGGCTGAAGTGTAGTGGCATACTCATTGCTACCGCAGCCTTGACCTGCTAGACTCAAGTGATTCTTCCGCCTCAGCCTTCCAAGTAAGTAGCTGGAACTACAGGTGTGTACCACTACACCCGGCTAATTTTTAAATTTATTATAGAGATGAGGTCTTGCCAAGTTGCCCAGGGTGGTCTTGAACCCCTGGACTCAGGCAATTCACTCCCTTTGGCCTCCCAAAGTGCTGGGATTCCATGTGTGAGCCTCTGTGCCTGGCTGAGAATTTTTAGACTTATTTCAATTCCAAATCCAATGTCTACATAACTTCCCACTTATAAACTGAAATAAACGTGGACATATTTTGAAAGTGCACAGAATATGTGAAATACAGAAAATATGTAATAAAAAGAGGAAATATATGTTAAATTTTCTAGAAATCAAATAATAAGTTAACACTTACTGGACACAGCAGAGAAACTCTTAGGCTTGTTGTAGCTATTTCACTGTCTGGATCCGCAGTTAACTTCTCTTTTACTGCCATTCATTGAGGAGGAAACAAACAAACAAAAAGAACAAGTTTATTAAAATTACACTACTGATAAATTACTAAAAAATAAGGAACTTAAATAGGAACCTTAGGGGAAAAAAGAACAAAAATAATCTGCTCAATTATTTCCCAATCAATTGAAGGAAAAGATGAAAACATTTACATGGCTTATGATTTCTATTTTTTAAAAAAAAGGATGGAAAACAATTGTGCATCTATAGACTGACTACATCTGCAGATTTCCCATTTCTCACCCATGGAAGGAAAATCTGCAGTAGGCTGGCATCTTCAACTGATAGCAGACCCTTTTTCTTTTACAAAGCTAAGATAGTGGACAGAGATTTTCTTTCTTTTAAACTTGACTAATATAATTTGAACTCTTCTATCTGAAAGGAAATTAATAAGAGCGGTATTTACAAATTTTTGAAAGCTCAGATAACAATATTTACAGTAAAACATTCATTCTAATTTCAATGTATGAAAAGAAAAAAGTGCAACTGCTTTTTCTGTCATATAATTATTTGAGTTTTACATTTGTTTATCTATAAACTGGTCATGGAATCCAGGGCAAGTCAATCCTCCTGCTCAGCTTAATTTTACTTGTAGTAAAATCAGAACCCGCGCTAGATAACCTCTAAGTTTTTTCAGTTCAAACTTCTCGTGGTTCTTAAGAAAGGAGACAAGAGCAATGTTACTTCTGCATGGCTATTCCTTTGCTCTCTCCAGTCTCATAAAAAGTCCCTTTATACTTCTCACCTGGAAACCTGAGGTCTCAGTTACCTCTGAAAACCTCCATAACAACAAAATTCATAAACAGCAAGACAGGAACTACATACATGTAATATACTGATAACTCCAGAAACTGTCCCACAATAGCTGTAAAGTCTGTATTGTATGCCAGAGACCTGAGTGGATGGCTGTGTCCATAGTCAATCACAGATTTCACAGCTGTGGCCCAGCTAAGCGTGACTGATAGACACCAATAGTAAAGACCATTGTGAGAGGGAACATCTGCAGGTAAGGAAGTTTCAGAGTGGACATACGCTATGTTCACAACCCCTGGACAAGAACAGAGAATCCCACCTTTACTAAGCATGGTACTCGTAGAGCCTGGCTTTTTTTTGAGACAACTGAGACTAATCTTAGGAAGTTACTGTATTCTTAAAGAAACAAAGAATTTAAACAGACATTAAATGTTATTTGTGCTACATCTTAGTCTTTCATAATTTATAAAACCTCAAACACAGTATGGAAAAGTCATGAGATCATGAATTAGTTTTTGTGAGTTACAGGAAAAAACACAATGATGTTAATAAAACCCACCACATTCTATCATATTGCATATATCCTAATTTTCTTCTTATCACTTATTTTTACTCTCATTCCAACTCAAAATAAACCTCCAACTCAAAATAAATAAATAAAATAAAATAACAATTGTTTGTAGACACGGGGTCTTGCTATGTTGCCCAGGCTGGTCTTGAAAGTCTGACCTCAAGTGAACCTCCTACTTCATCCTGCCAAAGTGCAGGGATTACAGGCATGAGCCACTACACTTGGTCTGATTTTTCTCTTTTAGTTTGTTGAGAGGATGAATTATACTGATTGACTTACTTTTGAATGCTGAAACCAACTTAGTACAGACATAAGCTCTATTTGGTTACTAGGTATTATTATTTTACATACTGAACTTAATAGTTGTCAAAACAATTCTGAAACTGAAAAACAAAGTTGGAGACCTCTATCTGATTTCATGACTTACTCTCAAGTTATGGTAATTAAGGCTATAGTTTGGCATAAAGATAGACATATAAGTCAATGGAAAAAAATAGAACCCAGAAATAAATTCATACATCCACAGTCAACTGGTTTTTGGATAAAGGTGCAAGTTAATTAAATGGGGAGGAAAGAGAGTCTTTTCAACAAATATTGTCAGAACGTTTGGATGTCTACATGGGGAAAAATGAACCTATATTCTTAACTTGCACCATGTACAAATATTAACTTAAGATGAATCATAGATCTAAATCTAAGAGCTAAAATGATAAAATTTTTAGAAGAAAAATAGAAGAGAATCTTCTGACTTTCATAAGCAAAGATTTCATAGTATATAAAAAGCATGACCTATTAAAAAATAAGCAAAAGACTGGATAGATACTTCATCAAGAAGCGATAAGAATGACAGACACATGAAAAGATGTTTGACATCATCACCAGTCATTGGAAAGCTACACAGTGAGGCCAGGCACAGTGGCTCATGCTTGTAATCCCAGCACTCTGGGAGGCCGAGGCAGGAGAACTGCTTAAGCCCAGGAGTTTGAGACCAGTCTGGGCAACCTGATGAGACCTTGTCTCTTAAAAATAAAAAAGTTAGCCAGGCTTTGGTGGCACCTGTATTCACAGCTACTTGGGAGGCTGAAAGGGAAGAAATGCCTGAGCCCAAGAAGTTGAGGCTGTGATGAGCCATGATTGTGCTACTGCACTCCAGCCTGGGTGACAGTGAGACCCTGACTTTAAAAAAAAAAAAAAGGAAGAAGAAAAAAGAGAAACACACTGTGAGACATCACTACCCACTGAGCAGAGGGGCTAAAATAAAAGCAGCCTGAGATACTACACGCAAATGTGGGAATGCAAAAATGGTACATCCACTTTATGCAAAATGTCAATTTTTCTAGCAGCTTTATTCATCACAGTGAATAACTGGAAACAATTCAAATGGCCATCAACTGATAAATGGATAAACAAATTATGGCACATAAATGGATTACTACTCAACAGTAAAGAACCAGTCACACAGAAGAAACTCAAAAGCATTACAATAAGAGAGAAGAGCCAGACACCAAAGGATCCGTCTGTGGGGCTGCATTTATCTGACATTCTAGAAAAGACAAAACTACATTGAGGAAATCACATCAATGACAGGGAGATAGGGTGGACTGCAGGGACCACAGAGGAACTTTCTAGGGTGAAGGAAGTTCTCTATTTTGACTGTGGCAGTAGTTCATGATTGTGTATACCTGTCAAACAAATGTTTACTGTTTATCATTATGCCCCAATAAACCTCACCAAACAACAAAAAGAAAGAAAGGGAAGTGGAGAGGGAAAAGTACTATGTTAAATTTAATTACCAGAAAGTATGAACGAAAAAGTAAAATAAAAGTATTTATTCTTTGTGAACAAAGGAGTAAAAAAAAGAGTATTATCCCTGTAATTAGTCAATACTTAGGAAGTAAGTCAGCTGAGAGTTCAAGTTTTCTTATGTTACCAAGAGCTGCGATGTAACAGTCTTTCGCGTGACCTATAATAAAGTTACAACTAGCCACGTTTAAAATTAATCTTGCTTCTTCCAAAAAGTCAAGTGAAATTGGGGGAAATAAATAAAATTAATCTTGTTTTTAACCCCTGTTATCACGAGCTCGCCACCAGTCACATGGCTACATTTAAGTTTATATTAAATAAAGTTTAAAATCGGCTGACCAGTTTCCCCAGCTGTCTCCAGTGCTCAGCAGTCACACATCACTGGGGCTGCCACACGGGCAGAGCAGACAGGGAATACTCTGCCCAAACTATGATTAGACAGTGTTGCTCCAAGAGGGTAATTGTTATAAAATAATGTCCATCGTTCATTAATATCAGATTATGTTAATGCATTCTGTCCAAATTTTAAGGCTGAAAACAATCATACCTTAAGCCCACCTAATACTTCATTCTACAGACAAAGAAACAGAAACCTCAAGACCAGTTGTTTACTCTAACCTCTCTCTCTTCAGCGGGTTGCTTCAACAAAAGGACACAGGGTCTCCTCCCAGCCAGGCACTGCTAAGCAGTAGGAGTTCAAGAAATGAGATTAAATTCCTTTCTGCAATCTCACAGCCCAGTAGAGGGCAGGGACACTCAGAGACTCCTCTAGTATGCTGAGGGCAGGAGGCAGGACAAGAGGGCCCTGAAGGCAGGGATGGGGGAGGGGCCGCCTGGCAAGTCCTGAGGAGAGTGTAGGTGTAAGCTGGCCAGGATCTGGCCAGGTCAATTTTAAGCACTTGAGTCTGAGAAATGGGGGTAGAATGTCAGGGGAGGCAGTTAGCCACATCAAGATCACGGATGATGCGCATCTGGGGGAGGGGGCCTAGAGTGCAGAGAAAGGCAGACCAACATTTGGAAGCTTCCCTTAAAGATTCCCTTGACAGCAGGGAAGGAGTGGTCAAAGAGGAGGGGAGGATTTCAGGAAGCGCCTGGCCTCCCAGGCAGCAGAGTAAAGCACACTAGGCAGAAACCAACCAGATGTAACTTACATGAGGCAATAGATCGTCATGTGTGACGTCCACAAGAGCAGCTTCTGTGAAAGGATGGGGGTTTAAAAAGTGTCACCAGATGCACACGGAGGTAACAGAGCACTTGCAGCCCATGCGAGCACCATATCAAGACAAGCACAACAGAAAACACAAGCCTCTCTAAAGAGGGGCTGGCTTTCCTGTTTTACAGGACAAAGACGACACTAGGGGAGCCAGGTCTCCCAACTGCTAGAGGTCAAACACAAGCAACAGACTGCACCTGATCCACCCCTGCCTGCAGCCTGCATTTTCAGTACTATTCTCCATTTCATATCTGGCATGTCCAGGCTCCTTGGTGCCCAAGTTAAGAAGCCTAGCATACACCCTAGCACCCTCACTCCCCACACGTCATCAGCACAATCCCTACCCTTCATGTTTCTCAAAACTGTCCACTGTATTTCTACCATCACTGCCTTCATTCAAGACACCTTCATCTCTTATGCACAACTGCCAACTCCACTGGCCTCACTGCCTCAGTCACATCTCCTTTATTCCATTCTCAAAGCGAGGCTCAGACTGTCCACATCCAATCACATCATTCCTATGCGTACACATCTCTTCATGGCTCCCCCTTGTCCATCCTGCCACCACCTGGGTAATCTCACCCATCTGCCTTGGTTTGCTCTCGCTCAGCCCTCCACTCCAGTCCACCTGGCTTAGCTCCTGGAACACTCCCTCCCACCTTGGGGCATCATTCCCCCTCACTCTTATCCTCTTGCCTGTGCACCACGACACCAGAGGACTGTGTTCCTCCACAGAGCTCCCCACCTGTCTTCTCCAAGGCACATGTCACAAAGGTGACTCATTCACAACCCGTGCAATGATCCCACGTCTGTCTCTCCCTCGAGACCACAGACTTCTGGGGGATGCAGAGATGCTGCGTCTGGCTTCACGCTATCTCTCCTATACCTGGGACACAGCAGATTCTAATATGATTTCTTAAATGAAAGAAGTGAATGAATGAAAGATGAGCTTTAAGCAGAGAAAGGAATGACGACCCGAAGGGAATGACATGAGGACGGGCATACATGTGGGTCCAGTTGAAAACAATTAGGTTCAAGCCTGTTATCCCACTTTGGGAGGCCAAGGCAAGAGGATTGCCTGAGCCCAGGGGTTCAAGACCAGCCTGGGCAACTCAGCGAGAACTCGTCTCTAAAATATATCAAAAAAATTAGCTGGGTGTGGTAGCACGTGGCCAGCTACTTGGAAGGTTGAGGCAGAAGGATAGCCTGAGAGCCCAGCAGGTCGACACTGGGGTGGCCGTGAGAGTACCACCGCACTCCAGCTTGGGTGACAGAGTGAGACTCTGACTCAAAAAAAAAAAAGAAATAAAGTAATTAGAGTGGTGCTGAGATCAAGGAAGAGACAGGCAGTGAGGAAATCCCATCTCGTAGCCCCAATCTCCTTACATTGGCAAAGAGTCTAGTGGGGGGCAGTCTGAGTAGATTATGGCTAAGGTTTGAAGTAACGGCTGAAGGGAGAAGGGAGAGGAGAGAACTCAATCAAGAGTCAGTAAAAGACTGTTTCTGAGAGTTGTGAGGGAACACCGCTATACATAGCCAGAAAGCACAAGACAAAAACCTATTAAATCACATGAATCAGAGAACAGATTTCTCTGTGAAAAAGTCTAAATATGAGGAACTTTATTCTTTCAAGAACACAGTAATAGTGCCTGACTTGACTAATAAAACTAGAAGAACTTACTCATGAGATTAAGAATGGTTTACAACAAACAAATTTATAAGTAGTTTTTTTTTTTTTGAGTCAGGGTCTTCCTCTGTTGCCCAGGCTGGAGTGCAGTGGTACAACCACGGCTCACTGTGGCCTCGACCTCTTGGGCTCAGACAATTCTTCTACTTCAGCCTCCCATGTCCAGCTAATTTTTAAAATTTCTTTGTGGAGACAAGGTCTTGCTATGTTGTGCAGGCTGGTCTCAAACTTTTGGGCTCAAATGACCCTCCTGTCTCATCTTCCCAAAGTGCTGGGATTACAGACATGAGCCACTGTGCCTGGCCTTCAGATATTTTTGAAGAATCAAATTACTTACAAATACAGGACCAGGCACAGTGGCTCATGCTGTAATCCCAGCACTTTTGAAGGCCAAGGCAGAAGGATACACCTGAGCCCAGGAAGTTGAGTGATAGTGAACCTTGAACGTGCCACTGTACTCCAGTCAGGGCAATAGAGTGAGAACCCAACTCAAAAACAAATAAAATACTGAGATACCTGACATTTCTTTTGTAGGTTACCTTAAATAATATTTCAGTTACATAACTAATTTGTTGGAAAACTTTTTTTACACATAACAAAAAGGTAAATAACCTGTTCTTTAGTCAATTACTTAACAGTGGGATCCAAAATCATATCCCACTGGATCCCCCAGCCAGTAAGATATACAATGCCACAAAACCCTCATCCAACGTGCAATTCTCCACACACAGCAGTGGAAACAAACTGCGTTTGAATGAAGCAGCTTCTGCTGCCTGACAGTAGCTAACAGTGGTACCCTGGAGAAAACAGTCGTCCAGGCTGGCATTCCCACCCCCTCCAGGTGGCGCTACAGCCCCATGTGGAGGGGCTCACGGCTGGCGCCAACGGCCTGTGCTGCGGCTGGCTGTTCAGTGCCACAGCTCTGTTTGCCTTTCCCTGGTGCTCTGTCCTCCACACAGGCCCCAAATTCCAGCTTCCACCTGCCTGTGCGCTCACCACTGGGAAAGTAAGCATGGAGAGTCTCAGTGGAGTGACCAAGACCCTTTGGTAGGACAGTGTCTCCCCTGTCTTCTCTCTCCTGGACTCCCACCTTGCCTTGTCCCTGCCTGCCATACCCCCATCCAGCAGATCCCACCAAAGCTGTCCCTCCAGCAGAGGCACTGATCAGAGGGCCTTTTTTCTCTGGGCTCAGGATCAGAGCAGTTTTCAAAGGGCCGTTTTAATACAGAAGACCCCTTCAGTGAGCCATTAAGGGCCTCCTGACACTCAGCGGAATGGGGTCCTTCACTGTGGTATAGAAATAGGCCAAAAGGATAAAAGCCATGCTTCAGAAGTAAGTGAGAGGAGCCAGCCTCGTGGTCTCAGCTCTTTCCACTTGGGTGCTGCCCACTGCACATCTGGGTGGGCTCCACCAGTTGGCTCACACCAATGGTCCTTAAAAGGCAGTTACCTAGCCCCTGCCTGTAAGTTCTGTTTCCTAAGCGCCCAGCCCTTACCCACAAATTCATCAATGAAGACTCTACCTCTCACAAAGAAGAGAGTAAGGGGAGAACTGAGTTCAGTCTTTGGAGGGGCCACTGAACTCTTTGGCCTTAACCCTAACATCTGTGATCAGAACAACCCACTTGTACCTCAAATTCAATGCATCCAAGTGAATGGTCCAGTAAGTCACACCTAAGAACCCAGGCTGTGGAGAGGCTTTAGAAACTGTGTGGTACAAACCTCATGGTACAGACGAGGAGCGTGAGACTCAGAGGCGGAGCACCTTGTCCAAGGCCACATGACTGATGAATGGCAAAACCCATGTCAACATTATTTGTCACCCCATTGGCTGTCTTCACTGTGTTAATGCAGGGGTGCAACCATCATATACCCCTGCACATTTTCCTGGATAAACCTCTGATCTAAAATAATGGTCTTAAAATTTTATACCAAGACCTTCTAATTTACTATAATTCCTTAAACATTTATTTATTTTATGAGATTGTAATAAAATATTCTTCTATGTTCATACACTGATTTTACAAAGTTAATCGTAAGATCAGTAAAATATAGTATAAGTATAGTCCATAATAAAAATATTAAAACTACTCTTAGGTTTTGCTTTACAAGCTCAAATTAAGGTTCTCAGTATGTTTATAATCCTCTACAACAGGCTCTAGTAAAATAACAAATCCCACAATTTCTTGAGTTGAGAAAATACTACTCTAACCTTTAACAAAACAGTTTGGCTACATAAATGAAATAAGTTTATCATACGTACTTAGAGCTCTAGAATGATCCGGGTTCCTTATTCCCTTTGCTCGTAACCTCTGAAGAAGAACTGTAGAGGACAACTGTTTTACAAGATACACTGCCATGGAATAGTTCTGGAAAAAAGATGCAGAAAACAACACAGGTAAGTTTTTCAGGACATCTATCTTAATCCCACAGTAACAGAGAGCCCTCCTGACAATACCAGCTATATGCCAGGTACTGTCTCAGGTGTTTTCATGAACAATTCATTTAAGCCTGACCAAAAGCTGCTGAGGTGATCATAAACCTATTTTTATGGATGAGGAAACTAAAATATAGAGAAGTGAAAGAACTTACCCTAATTTTGCAACTTTCAAGTGACAAACCCTGAACTTAAACCTAGGTCTGTTATGGTCCCACATTACCTGACTGCCTACATTTGAAGCTAATGAACTTAAGGTGCTTATGTGAAAGAATACTGTTGAGACTAAATAAAAGCCAAGGCCAGTGAGATGTCAGAATTATCACAAACCACATTTAGGAGAAAATGGGTATATGTGAACAGTAGCTACTTTCTAAACATCACGATGAGGCTTGCTTCCTCACTATACCTCTGAACCTCCCCATGTTTTCAACTAGTTCTTGAATGCCTGCACTTGGGCCATTACTGCTGCAAAGAGAGAGAATCTTGAAGGAGGTTTTTAAAGAGGAGCTGCTAGTTTAGCAGGGTGCATGTGAGACAAGAGGAGGAGCAGAGGCTGAGGCTGCCCAGGGCCAGAGAAAGATCTCCATGAAAAGGAACACCTTCCATCTGATGATGGGTATGAGAGAAGATTCCGAAGCTTGAAAAGACACAAAATCATAAACAACTGCCGCCATCTTGTTTCTCGCTACTCTGTATACATTTTTCCAAATGCTTTCAACATATACCATCTGCTTCATTTAAGCTTTGCAGGAGACCCACCAGAGAGAAAGGACAGGTGTTTTACTAAATGAAGGGTTGATATAATAGAGGCGCAGAAAGATGATGTCATCTGCTCATGCTCACACAACTGCCTGGTGACAGCGCAGGCACCAGCCACCAAGAGGAAAGGGCAGGAGTCTCAGGCCGGGGCCTCTGTGCCACAGCCAGAGTCGTGCTCCACAGCTCTGGCCTTCGCCGACTCTGCCTGCTGTGAGCTCTTAACCAGGTCCAGTGCACATCCAACTTTCAGATTCATTCACACTTTTAAAAATGCATTTCCTTTTTTTTGGCAGAAAAGATCCCACAGTAGCTTCTGGACAATCAATTTTCTTTTCTTTTTCGAGTTGGAGTCTCACTCTGTCGCCCAGGCTGGAGTGCAGGAGTGCAGTAGCACACTCATGGCTACCACAGCCTCAACCTGCTGGGCTCAGGCGATCCTTTTGCCTCAGCTTTCCAAGTAGCTGGAACTACAGGCGAGTGCCACCACACCCAGCTACTTTTTTTATTTATTGTAGAGACGAGGACTCACCAAGTTACCCAGGCTGGCCTCGAACCCCTAGACTCAGGCAATCCTCTCACCTCAGCCTCCCAAACTGCTGGGATTACAGGCTTGAGCCACCGCGTCTGGCTTACTCAATATTCATTTAAAGTTCAGAAACCTACCTATGCTCAAAGACTACATATTTTCTGGGGGAAAAAAAGAAGTGTCCAAAAAGCTAATTTACTTTTGTTAATACATTTCACAATATATTAATGAGGGACATCTAACTTAAAACGTTCCTAAATCTTACAGCAAACAACATACTAATGTAATATTGAATTGAAAAGTTTTAGAAAAAAAAATCTTATTCACCATTATTACCTGTTTGCTTAATGCTACAAGTATGAAAGAAACTGAAAAAATGCCAATTAACACTGTGAAATTATGTACAGACAGCTTGAATCTTCAGAACTTGGAATTACCCTAAGGCTTTATATAAATATTTAAGAAAAGATCAAGTAGAAACCACAAGAAGTTAAGTGAAAAGGTATGTTCACTCTAGTTGAAACATGTAACCAAATAGGGGAAAGAAAAAAAAAAAGGTCAGCAAAAAAGAATGTCAGGTATTAACAAATGCCACTTGTACTAATATGAAATTAAATTTTACATCACAAGAGAGAGGTTCAGCAAAAAAAACTCCAAACCTAGCACAGTATCTCTTCTAAGTAGCCTGATGTTAATACTGTTCATGCTGACCCTTCAAAGTATACCTAATTCCAATTATCAATATATATTGTCTTATACTAATCCTTTTGTCTTCGCAATTGCTTATCAAGATCATCAGGCATTTTCTTCATAACTGAAATACCATTTGCTCAATGCATGCCCTTTACACCAGCACAAGCTGAGTATCCTTTATCGGAAATCACGGGATAAAGTGTTTTGGATTTTGAACTTTTTTAAATTCTAAAATATGGGTATTGTACTTACAGGTTCAGCACTCCCATTCTGAAAATCTGAAATCTGGACCACCCTGATTACCATTTCCTCTGAGCACCATGTTTTGGATTTTATAGCATATCAAATTTTGGGTTTTCAGATTAGGGATATCCAGCCCGTAGCTAAAACCATTTCTCTACAAAGGACTAGAGTTCGGTAAATGCTAAGTGCAGACCCTAAGGCAGGGCAAGAAGATCCAACAAGGTTCACTTCCTTCCTTTATGCACTGAAATTGCTCTCCTGTTTATTTCATTTGAAAGGATGTAGTTGTAACATTTCTGAATGGTAATCATACAAATTATCTGCAGAGTGGTAGGAGATTCTACATAAGCTATTCAGAGCATCTGCACAAGATGAATTAAAACATTGATCTAAAAACAATCAAATAAGTTATCTTCTGGGCTTTGGAAAAGAATAATTTTCTTTCAATGTTTTAGTTCAAAAACAGAAAGGTCTCCAACATGTAGCCCTCCGAATCTCTGCGAAAGCCTTCCAGGGAAGAGGCCCTCTCCCTGGCCCCAGGGCACATGGGCAAGAGTACATCCCATCTTCTCTTCTCCCTACAACTTCAGACTTCCTTCCCATTTCACCAAAAACATCCGCCTATTCCTTGGTGGGCTGTACTTTTCACACACAAAACAAAATAAAACCAACACTTTCTTCAAAATGGGGGGAGAAGGGGAACTCCAAGGTACACTAGAAGCAAACGTTTAAAAGGATTTTACAAACCTGTGACATATTAGTCAAAGAAAAAAATATAACTGAGAGATGTCAAGAAACATTTTGATAAAATTAATAAAAATTCACTTCTAACAAAGATACCCAGTAAAAGACGAACATAGAAATATATCCTTGACATAATTTCTACCAAAAATAGCAATTACAATGCTTAATGCTATAAAAATAGCAATATTCTCATTAGCACATGGAACAAGTCAAATATGTGTACTAGCACCTGCATGACTTAACACTGTAAAGCTCTAACCAGTAGAACAAGAACAGGAGAAAATGACCAAAGAATTTACAATTATCATAATTTGTATAATATATCTCAAACTCAAAATTGCCTCCCTGCCTGGGAATCACAGTAAACCATCTAAAAAGCTACTGAAACAATGTATGAATTTAGCTATGAGATAAATATTCTAAAGTAACTAGCTGTAAATAAACCAACAATAAGTAAGTTATTTAGAAAATATAATAGAAAAAGATCTATCTACAATAGCAGTAACAACACAAGAATTAACAAAAAATATGATGCAGGATTTATAAGAAGCCTATTAAATTACTGAGGAACATAAAAGGGGACTTGAAAATATAGTTCCTGAAATGGGTAAACTAAATATCAATATTTATTAAATGAACTCTCTCCTAACCTAATCCATAACTTAGCTCTCACTTCTAGAATGCTACACTTCCTTGGCCTCGCCCTCAGTTCCTCTGGTCTGGCCTCTGTTCTCACCATTGACCTGACTCAGGCTTCAGGCCACATGGTGTGAACTTGCTTTCTCCCTATGTAAGTGCCCGTTTTGAGTACAAGGCCTGGCACACAGTAAGCATTCAACAAATTTCAAATGAATAGATACATGCTCAGATTATAAAACTACAATAATTTGAAAGCAGAAATTTTTTGAAAACTGTCCCAGAAAAAAAAAAAAAAAAAAAAAAAAAAGGCTGGACCACACTCAAGACATGTAAAAATTAAATATATGACAATGGTGGCTTCAGAATCAACATTTATTTAGTTAGTGGTGTTAGAATTGGCTATTTAAAAATTGAAAGTGGCTGGATATGGTGGCACATGCCTGTAATCCCAGCACTTTGTGAGGCTGGGGCAGGAGGAATGCTTGAGCCCAGGAGTTCAAAACCAGCCTTGACAACATAGGGAGACCTTGTCTTTAACAAAAAATTTTAAAAATTAGCTGGGTGTGGTAGCGCACCCCTAGTCCCAGCAACTTGAGAGGCTGAGGGGTAAGGATCACCTGAGCCCAGAAGGTCAAGGTTGTGGTGAGCTGTAAGCATGGTACTGCACTCCAGCCTGGGTGACAAGAGTGAGACCCTGACTTAAAAAGAAAAAAAGTGAAAGCAATTTTTATCCTACACCACACATAAATTTAATATGGACTAAAAATCATAAAAGTACAGAAGAAAATACAAAATAATTGCATATACTTGAAAAAAGCAGACAGCCAAAGTTTGATGGAGAGGAGAAAGGTTTAGATAAAGGAAAAACAGGTTAAAATTTAGATATACAAAAATTTAAATCTTCTACACATTAAATAATCATATAAATAAAAATAAAAGGCAAACAAACTGGAAACAATTACTTGTAACGTGTCAGAGGGTTAAGTTTTAGTACATGAAGAACTCATAGATCAATAAGAAAAAGAAAACAGGCCGGGCTCAGTGGCTCAGGCTGTAATCCCATGCTTTGGGAGGCTGAGGTGAGTGGATTGCCTGAGCCCGCGGGTTCAAGACCTGCCTGGGCAACTTGACAAGACCTCATCTCTACAATAAATCAAAAAATTAGCCGGGCCTGGTAGTGCGCGCCTGTAGTTCCAGCTAGTTGGAAGGTTGAGGCAGAAGGATCGCCGGAGCCCAGCAGGTCGAGGCTGTGGTGGCCGGGAGCGTGCCACTGCACTCCAGTCTGGGCGACAGAGTGAGACTCCAATTCGGGAGAAAAAGAAAAAGAAAACAGCAATCAAGAAAGACATGGATACAGTTTTATATGTAAACAATCACAAACACAAAACTTATTCAATCTCAGTAATAAGGAAAGGAGTACTAATTAAGGCAAAGTGGTACCATTATTTACCCAATAAAATTGGTTAAGATTTAAAAGAAGATAACAATAAGCAGTGACAGGCATTTGGATCAACACTGAAAGTTAAGTAAATAAATCTATATTTTTGGAGAAGGCAATGTGTCAATGTATACAAAATTTCTTAAAACTGGTCATGTTCTTTGATTCAGCAATTGCACTTCTGAGAATTTATTCTAAGGAAATTATTATGTGTGTGTGCAAAGCTTTAACTACTAGGATGGACTTTAAAATGTTCTTTGAAATAGCAATGAAAGGATCAATCAATAAATTAAAATACTTAACAACATAGAAAAGGCTAAATTATGGCATATTCATATTGGAATGAGATGCAGCCATTTAAAATAATGCAGAACAACGTAAGACACGGGCAGACATTTGTGATAAATTGCCGAATGAAAGGATCAGGTTATAAGACATTGGATACTGCATGATCCCATTTTTCAAATGAAAATACCACAAATTCATTGTAAGACAAAAATAAATCCTCTTGAAACTCCTGTTACAACATCATTTACATATAAGCTTAGGTAGCCAGGCAAAGCACAGGTTAAATGATTAACCCTTCCTTATAATACAAAAATCAGGGAGAAACAATTTACTTACTCTTCCAATTTCTGCAGTCCAAGAAACAACAATTGTGTTTGGTACTGTTGTGGACAATCGAACAAGTGAGGTGATATTAATTGGTCGGCTGGGTCGCTTTGGTTCCACACCATTTTTTGTAGGTGGAAGGTACCCCTAAAAGTAAAATATAATTTATTTCTACTTATTATTTCCACAATCATTTCAACTTCCATTCCTTAGGAAAAAACCCAACCAATTACACGCCACAAAATATGAATGCTTTCATTAGGAGTACAGAAACAAATATTTACAAGAGTTTCTTGTGTTATTATTTCTCTAAACAACTTTATAGTTTCATTATTGTAAACTTGAGAAAAATATAGTGATAGAAATTCAAAATCTCTTAAACTTTAAAAATCAGGCTGAATTCCTGAGAGCTTAGATAGGTATGTAAGGAGGACTTTCAAGCAGACCAAGAGTCCCCACCCCATTCTTCAATTCACAAAAACACAGTGTAGAGTTTGCTGAGACAACTTTTCCCCAAAATCCAGTACAATGCTAAAGCTATTACCCCCCAGCTCCAAATCCTGTCTCCATAGTAAATGTCATAGCTGCTGACTGTATACAGTTGGCACAAGTGTTCTATGAATATAAATCCCAAATAAAAATGTCTTCTTAATGAAAAACTATGATTAACAATGGCTATGATGACTTATTTCACAGTTATGATAGCAATGTATTTAAAAAAATAGCTTTTAAGACTTACTGGAAGGCTGCAAGGTTTTGTATTCACTTTCACACAGAGATTGGGTGGGAAGTGATCTTCCTGTGGACAACTGGTTTCTGATAAGCAAAACCTACAGAACAGAGACAGATGAAATTTCCTTTAAATGATGGTCAACTAAAAAACAACAAAGAGGGAAAAAGTATAAAAACTGGACATTACACATGATGAATAAGCATACGTAAACAGGTTTAAAATAAATAATATCAATGTAGAGTTTCAGCAATCACAGCTATCAATCTGTAGCTGTCACAATCCCGATAATTCTTTTAATATGTTCTGAAAAGCACTAGCTTCCTCAAATATCAACAGGTGTTTTAAAAAAAAGACTCTATTGTTAAATAAAGTTAAGAAATTCTGAACCTAAACAATTAAATGTATTATTAAGTAAATTATGTTTAACACAGAACTTCTCAGTGCTTTTAATAGGCTAATATGTCTTATAAATCTCTAAGAGGAAGACACAGTACCCGTGTACAGTATTTCCCAGATCTGTTTGCCCATGAAACACTTTTCTGGGTCTCAGCAAAAAAATACTGACCCAGTAAACCAAGTACTCCTTTATTTCTTAAGAACCAAAGATGTTGAATTGTAACACTCATTACTCATAAAAATATTTATTTCTAAATTAAGTGTCATAATCTTTTGAAAAAAACCAAGGATAGCTGCATAATATGTAAATTCTCACCCTAGTCATTCTTATATAGATCAAGAAATACATTATTATTTTGCTGTTTAAGACATTTACCCTTTATTAGTTCCTGTTCTCAATATCCAACCGAGGCTCATTTTGGTGAAACACCTTCTCCCCACAACCACACCATTACTGCTCACAGTACCCGAGAATTTACAGCAGGGAAAAGACTACCCTTAGTGCTGTGAGCTAGTTACTGTGTGCTCATGTGGCATGGGGTCTTATGCGGCATAGGGGCTCATGGGGCTATGAAAGCTGACAGTCCGCAAAATGGAACAATTTTATTGTGTATAAAATTTTATGAGTACATATATATGTTCATTTTTATAGGAAGACAATCCATAGCTTCCCTCAAATTCTCAAAGGGATCAGAGAGCCACAAAAAAGTTAAAGATTCCTGATCTACAAAGATTTTCTAGAAATACACTTAGCAAATAGATGTTGAAGTTCACGGGACCACCTCTAGCACCTGAAGAGCCTTCCATTACAGGCTGGTTCTTTACGCTGCAATAGTTACAAGGATGTCACTGCTTTGAGTTAATTATTCCAATGCAGTGATAAATTTAAAACATGGACCCTGGTTGCCTGAAGCTACAGGAAAAGAGTAATTTATATGACAAGTCGGCTCCTATTCAACTAATCTAAACCACCCTAAGGAACTGAAGGGAAAAAGAAAAAAAGTCTCTGTGAAGCAGCTCCTGACAGAGGGGTAGGAGGAAATTATGCTCATGCTTTAGATAAAATAAACATTATAATTAGGATAGCAGGCAGGCATAAACTCCTAATTAAATCATATGCTAGGGTTACAACCCTAGCAATGGGGGCTGTTGAGAGAGATGAAGAACTATTTTTGTTGTTGTTGTTTTTGTTTTTGTTTTTGAGTTGGAGTCTCGCTCTGTCGCCCAGACTGGAGTGCAGTGGCACGCTCCCGGCCACCGCAGCCTCGACCTGCTGGGCTCCGGTGATCCTTCCACCTTAGCCTTCTGAGTAGCCGGAATTACAGGTGCGCGCTACCACACCCAGCTAATTTTTTGATTTATTGTAGAGATGAGGTCTCGCCTGCCCAGGTGGGTCTCGAACCCGCGGGCTCAGGCAATCCACTCACCTCAGCCTCCCAAAGGCACGGGATTACAGGCTGAGCCACCGAGCCGGCTAAGAACTATTTTATTAAAATACAAATGGGAGAGGGGATAACATCATCAAGGGTACCTGATCCTAGACCGAAAGAAGTAAGGACCAGTGGGAGGCCCAAATTTCCCCTGTACAAAGATCACTTATGTGCCTAATCCTGACTTGTACCCCACATCTTTAAAATAAAGAAAAGAACAAAACACAAACAAAAAAAACCCACAAATAACCAACTAACAAATGACCAAATAAAATACAAAATGGTTCTTTTTTCCCTCTTTCCGTCAAGTTCTAGAGATAAATTTGAATTCAAATACCTAAACCGTTTTTAACTATCAAGATTTCCTTGACATCTCTCTGAATTAGACACCTGATCTATCTTTAAAAGATAACATCCTTCAAAATGTGAACCATACCTGTTGCTGCTTTAAAAATGTATTATATATTAATATAAAATACTGCATAAAATAACTAGGTCTTTTATTCTTGAGCTATGGTTTTTAAACCTTTATTTTGGTCTTGGGACCCCCTTCTTCGAATGAAAATAAATCCAGAAGTCAAACGTAAAACAGGTAAAAGAGATCAGAGCAGTACCACCAGGGTTCAGAGTATGTATGTTTGTCGGGGAGAGGGATGGAAACTAGAGTGTGGACCCTAAAGGCAGCTCCACTCAATAGCTGAAAACCAGTTTTATTTTTATTTTATTTTATTTTATTTTTGAGTTGGAGTCTCACTCTGTTGTCCAGACTCCCAGCCACTGCAGCTTTGACCTGCCGGGCTCCGGCGATCCTTCCGCCTCAGCCTTCCGAGTAGCCAGAATTACAGGCACGTGCTACCACGCCTGGCTGATTTTTTGATTTATTGTAGAGATGAGGTCTCGCCAAGTTGCCCAGGCGGGTCTCGAACCCACGGGTTTAGGCAATCCACTCACCTCAGCCTCCCAAGGCACGGGATTACAGGATGAGCCACCAAGCCCGGCTGAAAACCACTGTTTTAAAGGACAATGTCCATAAAACATCAGTATGAGCAAAACGTAAACAGAACTGCTGAGGCAAGAAGTAAAAAAGAGCAGAGCAATATGTAATGAATTATGATGACACCATGCTTTTGTTCTCTTATTTATTCAGTTATTATCCCCACTGGCCCCGCCAGACAAAGCACACCTTTTACACAGAACTACCTCTGTCAGTGCCTTCCAAGACCAAGACTTAGGTTATCACTCGTCTACTGGGGTAAGGCTCTGTCATAGTGTTTTATAATATAAAAGTCACAAAGAACAGTCATATTCTTAGAATCTTCCAACCAACCTCTCCTCTGCTTTCTCCATTGTCACTTCACTGTACCCAAGCTCTGAGGAGAGGCTTCCACGTTGCTCCAGAGTGCCGGTCACATGGGTTGGATGCATCTCTTTCCTAGCCTCCTAGCATACTTATCACCTATACATACAACTTAATGTCTGACTATGGAGAGCAGGCTATCTGTTTGACAGTGTCCTCCCCACGATACAGGGAAAACATCTCACCAAGGAAGACAATAGTCTCCTTTCTCTTCCAAGAACAGCATGGGACACTTAGGCTCGTACACTGAATAATGAGAGTATACTAGGATGGGTTTAAATATAAGCAAGGGAGAGACACACTCATATAAAAGATTTCTTAGGTATTCTAAGAAGAAATGAGTGCCTTGCCTAAGAAACTAAGAAGCAGCTGTGAAGCTATGTTGGAACATTTTCCATTAGTCTTTAAAATCTTCTAAGAGCAGTCTCAAAAGGATTCTAAGCTAGAGTACATTTAAATCAATTATTTAAAATACAGAGCAAAGCAAATGATAATACGCTGGTGTTTCATAGCCCATGAGATACAGATTTAAGTACTAGGTCCTTTTCTACAGTTGTTTGCCTCTTACAGAGATAAGGCCCTTGCTTTCATAACTTGCTATTTCTAAAGAGCTAAAAAGCACTTGGATATTTTAAGATATCATCAGTTGGAGATTCTTCACCAAGTGAGGGCAACCAAAGTGGGGAAATATGGTTAGATAAATGGTACATAAACTGCTATGTTAAAATCTAAACTGGATAAAGATTCAGGCATCTCTTAACAGGAGAATGTTTTCTCTTACCCAAATACTTGGAAATACACTTACTGAAACGCAATACTTTCAATACACTTACTAAAAATCAGGCAGATTTTAAAATCAGCCTTAAGGAATATTATCTTTTAAATGTTGAATATATATCCTGCAATCAACACGTACCTTAACTGGACCTGCACTGTGAAGTCACATTTGGTCCCAGAAATATCCCTAGAACAGACAGTTAAAGAACTGCAATTATTTTAAAAATATACACATAAATGTTTATATAAAGACACTGTTACTCCAGAAAGTGTTTCAAATTTACAGAGAGACAACTGTTCTTAGAGTAACTAACATACTACAATACTTTCATTGCTAATATTTGCATGACACTAATATAAACTTACCAAAACTCTACTTTTTAAAATCATGTATTGTGGACAGTACTACAAGTTTCACTTGAAGACAACTTACATGGAGCTACTGATTTGCTGCACTTGTTGTGGTGTCAAGGCAAATGCAAAACAGGTTTCTCGAAAGCGCTGACTGTTGTCTGATGCTAAAGAAGACAAGAATTATACTTTTAATTACCTTTACATTCACCAATAAAGACAATAGCAACGAACACATTCACATGTCTTTAATTAACTGGGATGTATTCTAGAGTTTAAATAAGACAATTAAAGCACTGAAAATAAAAAATATGCTTGTTATAATAAACAGAAATAGTCACAAAAATGGCTAATTCCATAAAGAACATATCAGGACACAAATTCAGAGAACACATAATCAAAGAATGACTAACAAAAAATTATCTAACCATATAAAACGTTTGCATCCGAAAAGCACACTTGCATAAAAACATACTAATTTTACTTAGAATAATATAAGCCCATTTGAAGATATGTGGATTCTGAACAAACACACCCACCTTGAGATCGGCATGGGTGAGGTGACATTTGGTTTTTAAGGCAAATTCAAGACTTTTCACCATCTGTTGAGCCCTACCATGCAATTTTCATACAATAAATATCACAAAGTCTCATTCCTGTTCTTAGGTGATTTGATTCAAATCTGCTTACTGTCACTATTTCCAAGCAGGAGAAGTTGTAAGAAGGGAAGGAAGGGAATAAAGCAGGAGGGAGGGGAAGAGAGAGAGAACACGCCAACAAGTAGTGCACGCAGTCAGGCCAAGCAGGGATCCCTCCAGTATGCATTAGAGGCTACACTCGTCAACTGGCTTTCAATATGGTAGGCATAGTTTAAAAACTGGTGAACACTACTGCTCACTAGTCCTCAGTGCTTGGCACAAAGCAGCACTATATGACTACTTACTGAATGAATGAATAAAGGAATACAAACATTTAGGAAATATTGGATTAAACTATTTAAACTGTACTTTTCCAAGGTAATTTTACTGAATAAAATGATCACTAGATTATTACTAAGGAACTCCTGGCCTGTGGGTCACTTATGACCCATGCTGAAATCTCTTGCTTAAGCTGGTTTTGATCCTACTTGCAAGAAACACTTCCTTTACAACTACCACCCAAATTGCAGTATGTCATATCAAAAAAATCAGGACAAATGTATCACTACGAGAAAAAAAACCAATGGAAAAGAATATTACTGATCTAAAATTTCACCTCAATATAGGAGGTTTTTTTGTTTTCTTCCTTTTTTGAATCGGGGTCTTGCTCTGTTGCCCAAGCTGGAGTGCACTGGCATGATCACAGAACGCTGCAGCTTCGACCTCCTGGGATTAGGTGATCCTTCTGCCTCAGCCTCCCAAGTTAGGGGGGACTTCAGATACATGCCACCACACCCAGCAAATTTTCTAATTTTTTGTAGAATGAGGTCTTGCCATGTTGCCCAGGTTGGTCTTGAACTCCTGGACTCAAGCAATAATCCCATGTTGGCCTTTCAAAGTGCTGGGATTATAGGCATGAGCTACCACACCCTGTCAAGAGTATCTTTTAAAGGCTAGATTTGCTTTCTGCTTTACGTCATCTGGGAAGTCACTAACCGAAAGAGTAATGTTAATTGTGAAGCACCAACCTGGCAATGGCCAGTAACTGAGGACTCAAATGTAGACAAGCAGCAAACATTTCCCTCTGTCAGGCAATGCAGGTAACTAACTCCGTTGCCTCTTAGGGACAACTCTATAAATTTTAGTCAGTAGACTCAGTCTAATTTAAATCTTTGGCTCCATTCTAAAACATTAAAATAATCTCCCAAGTACAAAAATTCGTATTACTCTCTAGGCAACATTACAGATTCATTTTAGAATATATGACTACAGTGAGTTTTAGACACATAAAGATTTAGAAAAAGAAGATAAGAGTAAAATACTGAGGCTGTTTCTTGTGCCACAAACAGAAATCAGGTTTCTTACTCACTAATAACCCTACTTATGTCTCCTTGTATGGAGATATTAGAATGCTTAGAGGGTTGCTACCATTTATCTGGAAGATCACCTTTCACACTCTGGGGTTCTTAGGCTTACTTACTCACTGCTCCAGTTCCAGAGAAGTCTTTGTAGTTTGGGTTTCAGACTCGCTATCTAAAAACCTTTCTGAAAGTGAATTAAGCTATCATTAGCCCTTTCAGAAAAATTCCGGACAAACAGACTCATCAAATCCTCATATTGAAAGGAATCTTACAAAGTCATCTAAAACAGCAACCCCTGATGTGCGGTCATGTATCTCCGTGGAACAAAAGACAAGCCATGGGGAGACAGGAAAGAAATCCATTTGTAAAAGACCAGCTTTAAGAAGTTGACATTTTACATGAAGCCTAAAATCTAATTTACAAAGGAAATCTAAAACTTTATGTAAAATCATAATCTTTTACAACTTTTGTCCTATATGTTTTTTTTAAAAATTGTAATTGCCAAGTAATTGGACATATATATTAATGGGGTACACAATGACATGTTGATGATACATATAATGTATAGTGATCAGATCAGGGTAATTAACATACATCATCTCCAATATGCATCATCTTTTGTGTCAGGAATATCCTACATATTTTACAACATACACATAAACAGTATTAGTACAATGATATGTATATACACACACACATGTAAGTGTGTGTATATAGTGTGCATGTGTGTAGTGTGTGTGTGCTCAAGTATTTTTCTGAGAGGTACATGTGACCAAGTAAGCTTGCAGACCATGGCTCTGGGGTCCAGCCTTCCTTTTAACCCTTCCATTGTCAGGCAGAAGATGGCTGGTGATGAACAGTTTAATTGTAAGAAAGCTCACAGCCCAAGAAAGTGCAGCAAATGTAGTGGAAAGGGATGAGATTACATAGACCTGGATTCCAAACCGGTTTTGCCACTTATGTGCCATGTGACCTTGGGTTCTTGCCCATTCTGAGTCTGTTTCCTCTGACATTTAAACACACAAACATACACACACCCTTTCAGGGCTAGTTTTGAGGACTATACATGAAGTAACAGCTTTCGAAAGCAACCATTTCTTTTTTCTCCCTCTCCTCATGCCACTACACTGAATCAGAATATGTAATGCTGTATGTCCTCCACCCTGATGTCAAGCAGCGTTCAACTAACCTTACCATTCAGAGACAGCACTCTTCAAATACCTGCAGACAGCATGAATGGCTCCTCCCTCTCCATCGCCTCTTCCTGCTATTTCAGGCAGGATTTCGGAATTACTCACCATCCCAACCTTCCTTTACTGGTCATGGCCCACATTGTTACACCTTTATTAAAGTGACAGCCAGAACTGGACATGCTGTCATAGCATATATTACCTGTTCACAGTATGTATTGTCCTGTACTGGCCGATCCCAACGGGATAATGGTACCTCTGGCACCATGACATCACCCTTGGCCAGTGAAACAGGAATGGAACCATACACGGCCAAGCAGTCCTGTAAGAGCCATCCTATGGTTTTACTATCTTTCTCTCCCCTCTGCCTTGATCTCCAAGCAAAGAGAACACAGGGCAGAGCCACTGCCAACCTGCAGCTAATAAGTAACATAAGCAAGAAATAAACCTCATTTCTTTGGTTGTTTCACAAGGTTGTCAACCACCTGAGATTTACGGCTGCCTGTAAGGTGGTTGATTCATTACTTCAGATGTGATGTGAGTAGAACACTGTTTTTATTAACTGCCCTCTAGTACTGCTAATCCACACAACAATCACGGAAAAAGTATTTTAGCCTCCTTTTCAGATGGAGAAACTGAGGTCTGAGCAGTTACTAACTTGTCAGGGTTTCATGTTGGTAAGTAGAAGAGTCAGACCTAGGGCTCCGGTTTACCCATCTCCTGTCTCCATGCTCATCTCACCACACAGGTCTCTGAGCTCCCCAACGAGGTGCTGGACCTACACCAACGCATCCTCCCACTACACTGGATCACAGAAAACAGGAGAGAATTGTCTATTTCTCCTTATCATAACTGTCTATCGTTTTTATGTATTTCTCTTTATTCTTATGTTAAATTTTGTGTACAACATGAAAGCTCACTTTTAAAAAGTACCCTTCTCACATGTTTCATTCGCAATCTCTATTACCACATTTTAATTATTGTACTAGATTCCATCAGGAGGTACCTGAAATTTTTAATTACTCCCTGATTAGTCACTGAGGTTGTTTCTAATTTTTCACCATTTGAAACAACTCTGAGAACATCTTGGGTTTACAAGTTTGTTTTATGAAAGAGGAGGAACAGGTTATTTTTTTCTTTGGATCAATTCCCAGATGTGAGATTTCAGGGCCAAAAAGATGGAGATTTTTAATGAATCTTGACATATCACAAGAATGCTTTCCAAATGGTTGTTTTATATATAAGACCATTAGCAATCTATGCATCTAAAGAATTACACCCTACTCTGGCCAGCATGAGAATAGCTGCTAATTTTATGGGTGGATCCTAGTAATGCCTAAGTAGTTTAATTTGCATTCAAAATATTTCCATGCTTGTTTACTTGAATTTCCTATTTAGTTCACTGTCCAATCTGGTTCTGTATCCATTTATACATGTGCATCAGGGTTTCATATATACAAATATTAAAGCTTGAAAATTTGCTACAAATATTTCCTCCAGTCTGCTACAGTTTTTTTCATTTGGGCTACATTTTTGGATAATGTAAAAGTTAGGTTTTAGCCGGACACAGTGGCTCTCATATATAATCCCAGCACTTTAGGAGATGGAGGCGAGAGGACTGCCTGAGCTCAAGGGTTCGAGACCAGTCTGAGCAACATGGCGAGACCTCATCTCTAAAATAATTTATATAATTAGTCGGGTGTTGTGCCGCATGCCTGTCATTCCAGCTTCTTGGAAGACTAAGGCAGAAGGATGCCTAAGCCCAGCAGGGTGAGGCTGCGGTGGCAGCGAGCAGTGTGCCACTCCACTCCAACCTGGGCAAGAGTGAGACTCTGACTCAGAAAACCTAACTGAACTGTACCTCACATCTTTAAAATAAAAAAAGAAAATACAAAAGGAAAAAAAAGTTAGGTTTTTATGCAGTCTATTCTGTCAACCATCTCCTTTATAAAGTCTACTAATTTTAAACTTAGGTGTT